ATTAAGATTGATTAACGGCAGTATACACACAAACTGGATTTTAATCGGCGTATCGCATATTATAGTAATTATTCGCTCCCACTGTCGTCTCCCACATGTCCGGTTGTTGTTGTAGGCGTCCGAGCACGTAGACCCGATAAATTTGTCACCGGTTTTGCATAACTAGTATCTCGTCTACATAATGTGCAATGTAATTATCATAATAATTATTATTATTGTACCATAGGGGGTGGCTATAGTGGTTTTAATGTGTCGCAAACTGTGGGACTATAAAGTCAGTCTGCCTAGTTAAAATACCGTTCAATACATAGTAGCGATGATAACTTATCAGATAATAGTATCTTGAAAAAAAAAAACAAAAATATTTTAAGATAAGGACACATGAAATCAGTGTGAACCACAGATCGAGTGCTAAAATTTCTTTATCATATTTAAATCGTATGGTTGATAAGAAGTTTGTACCTACAACAATATTGTAATATAACTGCACAATAATTTATATTAATTCATGCGGCTACACTGATACTTTTGCGCAGCCCTTATCAGTCTTTGGCCGAGTGAGCTATCCGTTTTTATATACATAGCTTGTGATAAGGAGTAAATACTTTTTCTTTTTTATCGTACACAGTACTAATCGCTCAACCGATGTGGACTTTTTTTGTCTTTTGTATGGCCATACTGGTTTTAGTCCTACTATTTACTTCACTGTCGCATACAAGCTATAGTATATTTGTTAGTTCATCTCTTTATATTGTTTTTACTCTACGGTCTGTACCGAATTTTCACAACGAATCGGATCCGTTTAACCGTTTATAAAAAAAAAAAACTCATTTATTTCTATTGTTACATATTATATCAAACGCCGCCGTGTGTGCTCTCCAGAAGTTTATGTTATACTACACCGTTTACTCGAGTCAGAACATCAACTGCTCCACTACCCCACCCGTGTCCTGGCCGGTGGTACGTCATTCGATATCCCTTCACCTGTTCACCTTATAATAATATCTGCTGTGCCTACGTTTTGATTTATAACGAATCCGAAAAATCCGGACGATGCACAGAGACCGTCCGTGTAACCGGAACACATTATATTTGTATCACGCCCCCTTTTGGGCTGCTGACCTTGTACCGCCGTGTCTTGTATTATGTGAATACACCACGTTCGGTCGCTTCTTCAACGGTGTCTCTTGCGTCGCCCCATTTCTGTGCGGATCGGGTTTCGTCTGAAAAATAGTAGATATTATGCCAATAGCGGTTTCTCCACATAATAGATAAAAGCAGAAGGGTCACTTTTAAAGTAAACAAAAACGTGGCGGCTATGTTGAAAGGGCATGTGTACAATGACCGTGCCCTTACCTTTTCTTATCTATTCAGTACTATCAGTTTAAAATATTGATATTACGGTTTGTATTTTATAAAATATATTTGTTTAAATTAGTTATAACTTAAATTTATTAAATTGCTAATACATATTATTAAAACCTCTCGAACCAATTTTTCTAGTCATTAAGTCAAATTATTGTTTTGACTTTCGTATAAAAATTATATTCTACATTTAGTTTTACGAAAATGGTCACACTGCGACGCTCTAAGCCAAAGTATCTTCCACGTGTTAATTTTTATCATGCTAAATTTCCATTCACTTTGCGAGTGAATTAAAAAAATTGATCGTTTAGTATTATATAGTAGTTGATAAAATCAATTAGTTAAAAAACTGTGTACAACTCATCGTATTCGGATACCTGAAACCGACGACACTGTTGTAATATGTTGAAAGCGTATATTTTGGATATCTTTTAAGAATATCACAATATGTTAATCCATGTTAGACCATCAAAGAAATTGGCTCCTCTGTAAACTATAATTATTCAACTATACATATACTAAATATCTATTAAATAAAAAAAACATAAAAAAATTAGATAGTTGAAACTAACTCGATGCCAATTAAATATTTGATTTTTAATAAAGGGCTGTAGTTGATTAAATATTTATTATTTAGTTCTCAAAAAGTAACTAGTTCAATTTCATTAAACAATTAAAAATCTGTTAACTAATTTTAATTTACTCATCACACTCGTGTCTGATAATTAATTATTCAGTTTTAATCAGATTAACAGCCGATTGAAAAATTGCTTAAAACTGCCTGAAATCAAATATCAAGTTTATAAGTTGATTTAGTGATGTGTTTGAATAGAACAAAAAAACGTTTTCATTTGATTTTTTTCACTGTAATAAAGCAACTTGTCTTAATTATTTAATTTACTCGTTCATTGAAATTTCAATATTTAATATATTTTGTTCAATAATACAATTTTGAAATAAACAGTTATGTTCTATTTTATGTTTTTTTTTCCTTCGTTTTTTGGAACTTTAAATAAGATAACCCTTTTTATCGAGATTTAAGTACCGAATTTAAGCCGTTTTCACTGCACCGAGTGTGATAATGTGGAATTTTAGGCAAACGCTCTTGTTGAATATTATCATTTTTTTTTATTCATGAATTATGCGCTACATTATTTGTAACTCGATTTGGTCGTAAACAATTATTCCTGAAATGGATTTTCATTCTGTAACACACACACACTGCAGTGGGCACCATTACTTTTGATCGATCTCGGTTATAATTTATATTATGGCTGTTAACGTTTAATGCGGTTTGGGCGTCCAACTACTCGTTACAATAATCTTAAAAGTCCAAAGAGCAGTTTTGAAATTATACGGTGCCTATTCAAGTCTCATACAGTCATCATGACTAAGGATGATCTCTCTAAAGAAAGGACAATAAAATCGTAGTGTGGAACAATGGCTAATTGTAGCTTTACGCGGTTTACAAATTGCCCTTTTTTTTTGATATTATCACATAGTTATGATATTTTGTATTTTTTTGTAAGGGCAAGCATGCAAGTATAACTAATTAAAACGTTACATTATGGGCGTACGAGCAATGGTGTACACATACAGTCAATCATACTGTTAAGTATATAATTATGCTAATTAAAATAGACATAGTAATAAGCATGTCATAACTTATGCAAACATGTAGCTCCGGCACATCACGGCCTATAATTTATTATTGTTTAATGCCAAGTTTACTTTCTATTTATACAAAATCGTCCAACTTGACTTCAAAACGATATCGAACTTTCTCGGAACGGTTAACTCCAAAGAGACCATCGAGTTATTATTATTATTAAAATAGATAAAAAACGACAGTGGTAGATATTTGGATAGATGGGTCATCGAATTTATAGGCCATAAAATCTTCATACTAATTTTTATTTAGTTGTTTATGTGTAAAAACTGTGAATACCATATGGCAGTGGACAGCGTTCTTCTTATAGGTGCTACATGACAAGTATTGACCGAGAAAGCCAGTTTTTTTCCACCCAAAAATTAGAAATTCAATTTATTGAGTAATCTTGAGATCTACTCGCTGTAGTTGTTTTACATGGGTTTCGTTAATTAGTATAGAATAAATTGTCAAATTAGATATTGCTATTCATACATGTCTTCATATAGCGTTATTATAATATTTTACTGATTTTTATAGCATAGCAGTTCGTTAAAGTCTCTGACCGTGCATTTTTATTGGAACTATTAAATAAGATATCTACATATTATAGCGTTTGCACCTACTTATCTCCAACCAACGTGGTGGTGCCAGAACGTGCGAATACAAAGGGAAGTGATGAAATAGCATTATGTATTTTATTTTTTATGGTTTTCTGTAAACGTGTATTTAACGAGTGTTCACGACAGTGGGAAAGAGTTGTTGTCTGCACGAAGGCGTACGCAGGAAATGTTAAAAAAAAACACTAGTTAATTACAAAATTGAGTAGGTTCACTGTGTATATACTTACATACCTACATTTAGATAATATGTCGTTCACGGGTCTGAAATAGCTTTCAAAGTGTCGCGTGTGCCCAACAGCGGTGTTAATCGGTAGCCCATCGATTATTTCAATAATTTTAAACACTTTTGTTTAAACTACACAGAACGATCGACTATTAATTGTGATTAACGAATCTTGACACTGATAACAATTAACACGGGAAAGATACTTAAAAACGCGACGGCCACAGTCTTAGAGCGTCGCAGTGTGACCATTTTCGTAAAACTAAAATTAGAATATAATATTTTTATGCGAAAGTCAAAACAATAATTGATTTAATGACTAGAAAAATTGCTTCGAGAGATTTTAATATGTATTAGCAATTTAATAAATTCAAGTTATAACTAATTTAAACAAATATATTTTATAAAATACAAACCGTAATATCAATATTTTAAACTGATAGTGTACTAAATAGATAAGAAAAGGTAAGGGTACGGTCATTGGTACGTGACCTTTCAACATGGCCGTCACGTTTTTGTTTACTTTAAAAGTGACCAGAGTTAACGCTTCCCCGGTGGCCGTTGTCCTGTGGCGAAAGACACGCGGGGACGATAAGAAGCGGCGACAAGATAATTATTAAGTTTTCCCACTCCGGTTATGTTGTGTGTGTGTGTGTAAACTGCGGTAATATTATTATCATTATTATAACGAGAAGCTGCTGTGAAGAACGACTACGACGGTGTTTTACGGTCGGGCGGTTCTCACGGAACGGAAAACAAAGAGGAAGAAGAGGCGCCCGCTATGTGACAAAAATCTTACACCGTGCGCTCGATCCAGATCCGTCGTCAGGCCGTGGCAGTTTTTTTTTTCTTTTTCTTCTTAGTTGTACACGTTGTATATTTTTTTAAGGTTCACGGACCTTTGGCCCGTTGATAATTACCGTCGCGAATCGTGATCGGTTCCCGGCCTCATTAACCAAGTCTCCGTTGCCACCCCGCACGCACGTCGATAGACCGTAACACTCCCCCCCCTTGGTCTTTCTACCGGTTGGCGGTTTTGTGTGGGTACATTTTTTGACTTTTCCCGCCGTCGTCTGTCTTTCTGTTAACAACAGCTGCTGTTTAACATAGTCGGTTTGGCTTGGTTTTTTTTTGTTCACAGTTGGACGACGCCGCCCTGCAGCTCTACAAAGACGGCGACTTCGGTTCCTATCTGGACATGGAAGCGTCCATAACCGAACAACCGGAAGAGTTCGAGGGATTTCAAAACGAGTGAGTAGACACGACAACAGTAATACACATTATTATCGTCCTAGAAACCCCACAGGACTCTGCGAAACTGTAGATGGTAAAAAAAAAAAACTATGAAATATATGTATAAATCAATTTTTAGACAACTCGTGTGTAAAAACATACAGTGTACGAAGTTAAATACAATTGAATACAAATTTTAAATAAATGAAAATCAGATAGGAGAAAGAAAGAAAGCCGAGAAACTTGTATTAGATTATAGGGGAGAGCGAAGCGTATAGAGGACTGTGGACAGAAGGCTAGTTTGAATTGGGATGGAACTAAAGATAAAGGAAAAAGAAATCGCAGAGTTGGAGTATGGTTCAGTATTGGATCAAAGAGACAAAGATGGAAATATATTAGGAATATTATTGTGTGGAGGTGTAGAAGTTAACTCATGTGTTGGGATTTTCTTAAAAAACATGAAATACATTGCCATATTAGTTCCACTAAACCCTTTTACATTACAAAATATTAAAAAATAATAACGAGCAAATATCAATATCAACTAGTTATAATACTGTGTTATTAATCTAGTGTTTAATTTCTTTGTGTGTGTTTCCACAATAGGCAGCACAATACAATAGCATTAAGTCTAGTTTTCAAATTGTAAGCCCTAAAACTGAAAAAAAAGAAAGTTAAGAAAAAATGTTCTACCTCTAAGCGGATAGGGTTAATGATTTTTCCTTTGCTTACTTTTTTGCACTGTAAATCGGTAACATTTCAAGTTTGGAAGTAATGTGAATTTTTTTTCAAAAAAATATAGTTTGCCATCATTTTGTGATGAAAAATGTGTACATTTTTTTAGTGTGTTATGTAGTTACTGTTTTTCTTGATGTTTAAGAAATTTTTTTTAATTTATTTATGACCTTTTCGCTCACGATTTCTATCCCGTAAACTTTCTACATAAAGCATTCGCAGTCTGTGGGTTAAAAATTGGTCGTGGGTCCGAACACAAAAAAAAAAACAATAATTTTTCATCTCCTCGTCGAAGACATAAAAAGAAATGTCATTCGGGTAGCTGCGGAAATACGGAATGTCTTATTTTATGCGTTTTAAATAACCATAAAAGGCGCACAATGAGAAAAAAAAACCGTGTACAATAAAATATTATATTATATTATGTAGTTTCTTTTTGCGGTTATCAAAGGAATACTATAATTTACTATAGGTACCTCTACACATGTAAACCGTGTTTACCGCTGGTTATTTTAATTACAATGTCAAACCGAGATGCCTATATGCTTGTAGTTTTCCATGCAAATTTCTAAAATGTAATAAATTACGCAGACCGTGATTTAATATGGTTAAAACACGAACTACTGTATTTTTTTTATTCGTGTAATAGTATATTTTAATCTTCGACTTTTAATTAAAATTATATTACTGGTAATGGAAATATACACATACATATATCACATAAATGGAAATCATGGGTAGGTACGGGGTGTAATAAATTACAGCATACAGAATGATTTTTTTAGCATGGACCACTCAGTATCTCACTGGGTTTAATTAATAATTGCATTTTTTTCATATAACAGGGTCACAAATTTCTATGTCCCTATTCCCCTCCCAAACTAGTTTTTTTGTCAACTCAAATGGTAACGCATACTATTGCATTACAGTTTTAAATTGCGGATAATGTACTATAAATTTTGAAGTTTCAAGATTCTAGTAGGAGGAAAAGGGTGGAGTGTGTACTATTATTTTTATCTAAGTGCACTTCCCCTCTAACTTTTAAACTGTTATAACTTTAAAAATAATGCTTCAAGAGTTGCCATTGAAAAAAACTAATTTGGGAGTAGGGAAGGAACGTAGAAATTTGTGGAAAATTGAGAACACATTATAATATAAAAACACTATGGAAAAAAAAGTGAGATATTGAGTGGCCCTCGATAAAAAAAATCACCCATTATAACTAAGCAGTCGCCATAACAGTATGAAACAGTTGTCATGTGGTCTGATTTGGCATAGATTTTATTATTGTAAATTTTGTGTTCAAAATTTCTCAAACATTCCAATCTAAATAACCAAACCAAACATAACGGTATTAAACAAAATAACTATAAATGCTATTATTTCGGTATATTTCAAGTCGCTGAACCGATTTCTTCGTGTAGCAGCTCTTAAGATATCATAAATCGTACCCAAACTACATTATGTAGTTAGCAAACTGTGAATCAATTTACTGTTAATTTCTCAGTCACCGTGTCTCGTCACAAAAATGTGTTGTCGCTCGTGTACAATAACAATATAGATGATAAAATAATAAAGGAACCTGAGAGTAGGTACGTTATGAAAACAGATTAAGATCAATAAGAGCACAAAAAAAAAATAACAAAATATACGAGAACTGCTGTCATTCGGTTAGTTCGGCGATGGTCGCTGTGGTACGTTATTCGAGAGAGAGAGAGAGAGAGAGCTTTATACAATAAAAACGTTTAGATCTAAAAGTCGGATCGGATTTTTTACTTTAGTCACGATTTTGGCCTGTTCAAAAAAAAAAAATGTAATTTCGTATCCCACGGTAATTGTTTGCCATCTCGCCGCCGCCTCGCTCTGCACACATTTAACCCGAACCATTAGTACAATGTCTTTTGTTGCCCAAGAAGCCTCCCTTCGTGCCGAGGTCACGTCCAGCAGTAAACCATTTCTATTGTAAATATACATTTAAAAAAAACCTCAAGTCTGTCATGTACCCCTTAGATCTGTTTTATCACTCATTGACCAACGCCTTACCGCAACAATACCCTACTGTCAACGGTAACTGTATTATAGTAGTTAACTGTGCTTTATCTGCGAATCTGGCAAGGTAGCAGTTTTTACAACGGTGTGTTCGCCGCAGGATCGATTATGCGAAAAGTATTTAATAACGTTAAACTCCTTGAAAATCGAGTAATGCTTTGTTTTTACCAAGGAAAACCCGAAAAAAGCTAAAAACATCATTCCAAGCACAACGTGATGATTCGTGTGAATTTATAACAATATTGTTATCAGTAGATATTTTTTACTTGCTGTGATTTTAGTTGATCAAATTGATTTCGACATGGATATGTCTTTTGGCTTGGGATCAATAAGAAAATCTGTGCGTCACGCTGAACGTTACCGAGGAAAATTTGTGCTTGTGGCGCGATCTAGCGGTTGTTTTTTGAACGAAAAAATGATAAATAATTATCTGATAAGAGATTAAGATACATAAGGATATAACGGTGTATATAAGGGTAGTCAAATGAATTTGTTAGGTAGGCATTTACTTACTGGTGAACCACTGTAATTGGTTTATGAGAAATGTTAAATATTGATCAATTTTGCCAGTATAAATCAATTAAGGCCAGATATTGTAAAACTACTAAAAAACGTTTGGCCAGAACATAATATAATTAAGACTATACTATCATCATATGTATCGCAAGGAGATCATAGATAGGAAATAGTTATACAATTATCAGGACATATCCGTGTAATTAACTGTTTTTTTTTTTGGTCAGACATACAGAGTGATCAATTAGTAACATAAGACACGTTATTTTTTTGGAATAATTTAGTAATTTTTTATTTCGTGTTTTCGCACATCTGTACAATTCCTACTGTAAAATTGTCTAAAAAAAAAAATCGAAAAATGATTTATACTTATATTTAATAGCGTTCAATCGCCTTAGCAGTTTCGCATCGAACTTGAATAGGATTTTATGACCTCTTCGACCCAATTGTACTGTCCGATTTTTGTTTTGTTTTATTGTATTGTATTTTATTACTATTTTTAAAAAATTTTTATCATTTTAGCAAGAGGAACTCGATAGTTTTGCGCACGCAGTTGTCAGTCAAAGTACACACTATAATAGGTGAGTGTACAACAACAATAATATAATGCCATAAATCATGTAAGCCACCTCTAAACACACGGTAGTAAAGTAAGTAAGTGCTGTATTGTGTGTGGGCGGTGGAAAGAGCGTTGGGGCCATTTCGATTTTGAGCCACCACGATTTAGCAGCACTCACTGAATAGGAGAACACACATATATTTTAATTTTTTTGTAACTAATTCCATAATGAGACGAGCGCCAGTGATAATTGCTTTGGTCTTTGGATAATCCACGAATAAACGTGACCTTTTATCTGTTATTTATTGTATTGTATTGTACTATTATTTTCCAGACAAACTGATGAACTCCGAAGGCAAAGAGCTCAGGAGATGTTTGTTCGCGCTCAAGCACATATTCCAGGTGAGAGAACCCACGACGGGGAGTATAACAATAATGATACAATATTTTATAATATAATATATGATCATTATTCTATACCATTATACGCGTGTTGGCCAGAGGCACACGTTTCAAGGTTTAGAAAAAAAAAATAATAAAGTACAAATTCGTTTTGCCATGTGCGATGATTAGAAATGTAAACAGCCCGGTTTATTGTCGCACCTCCTCCGTCCATTATTAATGAACATAAAGACTAATCAAGTGTATAATAATAATGAATGATTATATTATATTGTACACGATTGTGCATTGTAGGAGGACAAAGATTTGGTGCACGAGTTCATCCAGAACGACGGTCTAAGGTGCCTGATCAAGTTGGGATCAGACGTCGACCAGAACTATCAGAATTACATACTTCGAGGTAAAATCTTCTTAAGTCAATACACTTAAAGTCTTAGATCTCGTCCCCTAAATATATTACAATATATTTTGTTCTACATTGATTTGCCTTGTTGATTTCCCAAATTATTCTTGATTAAGTACTCTAATACATCTACAAGTTATTTTGTTGATACCTTACATCACTTGTCTATAGATTAGTAGTGACATAAGCAACCAGTAAATAATTATATATGACATTTAAATAATAACAAGTTATAAAAACTTCTCAGAATTAAAAAAACAAATAGAATAAATTCTTTGATGTACATACTGACAAAGCCAGACAAATCTTCGACAACTTAGATGGTCTGATTTCAATTCTTGGGAAACAGATATTGAATTTTTTGCATTTTTATGTAAAAGTATTGGGTTTTAATATTGAAAAATTGCAAAAAAAAAAATATATATTGTCTATACAAAACTCCTTAAAAACAAACTGCATGCAATCCCCTTAACGAAACAGATTTTTTTTATTCTACAATAAAAAAATTAACCTTATTTTGTTATATGTTTTAAATGTTGTGAAGAGAGATTACTTGAACAATTCAAAAAATACAAAATTATTATAACCCCATACTACTGGAGTACAAATAAAAATTACTCTAAAACATAAATACCAACTTTGGCAAAAATTTTCAGCTATAGTTGGTAGGCATGTAACACAATAGGATCATATTAGATGTTTAGTTGTTTTTATAAAATATTCTCCTCTTCAATTGTAAACTGCTTTCTTAAACAAATACACGGTTAAGTTGAAAATCAAATCAAAATTCTTTTATATAACTGTCGGGTCAAGATTGCCATTAGTATCAAGCAAAGTCCTCTATAGTAGAATTCATAAAGTAACACTTTTAAGGAAACACAGGAAATCAGCTGTACTTGGTTTTCGAGATAGCAATAAGGTGAAAAATGTTTCCTCTTTTTTACACATGTGTACATTTACACCTTGTATTTATTCATCAGTATAATAATTAATATATATAAATATACATTGGAAACCTGGTTTTTTTTAGCCCTGGGTCAAGTAATGCTGTACGTGGACGGTATGAACGGCGTGATCGAAGACAACCCCACGATCCAGTGGCTGTACTCCCTCCTAACGTCCAGGTTCCGGTTGGTGGTGAAGACCGCGTTGAAACTCTTACTAGTCTTTATCGAATACGTCGAATCAAACTGCTTGATCTTCATACAGGCCGTGCAAGCCGTTCACCAAGCTAATGGTACGGTTTTTTTTAACGACACGTGTATCTTTTATTTATTATTTTTTTCCCCATCTCCAGGCACTCCCCTATGGAGTAACGTCATGAAACTGCTTACCGAACCCGACATGGTCGACACCGAACTTTTGGTGTACGCAATGACTCTGATCAATAAGACGCTGAACGGTATACCCGACCAAGACACGTACTACGATCAAGTGGACGCCATCGAAGAACAAGGCATCGAACAAGTCATTCAAAAGTAACTTAGACAAATTTGTATTAAGTTTGAAGTGACTTGAATTTTTCCTTTTCCTTTCCTGTATTATAGGTACATGTCGAAACCGGGCACCGAGCTGGATTTGCTAAGACAACTTCAAATATACGAAGTCGTCCTGCAACACGAAGACGGCGACAACAAGTCCACGCCGATAAGAGTAGATCATTCGATCAGGTATGTAACATATACAGGGTGCATCAAAAAGAAGTATTGGACCTACAGCGCTCAGGTAGGACTTAAATGAAATAGGGAGTTGTCAAGTTTCCAATGACTGCCACTAGATGTCTGCCGTTTGAAACCACACCATTCTTTTTGATACACCCTGTATTCTATTGTATTATGTTTGACTAAAACGTTATTAATTTTTTCTACAGAAAAACATTGAGAAATCGAAAGTCTCTGACTTCGGCGTTGGACACGGTGGAAAGAAGAAAATCCAGAAGACACTCTGCCGGCAACGCGTGCATTCAAATGCCTTTGCTCATGGAGAGACTCGAGATAAACCCACCTCCGCCCAAACCGAATAAATTGCCCCATCCAGGTTTGTACAGCATTCGGCTTGAAATCATAGACGCTTATATCTAATATATCTATCGGTGTTCCTAATAAACACAATAATATTATATTATACTTGGTGTAATGCACATTTTTACCGAATACTCTTCAAGGCGATGCGCAAATACTGTTGTATATGTCATTTTTAATCTCGCTAATTGACTGCGATGAAAATACAATAATATTATGCTAACTATTTAACGACGGTGGACGACTGATGATATTATTGTGAACGTCTTTGTGCCAGTATAAGTGTTTTGTTTGTTTCGCTTTACACCAGGTGAGGATGCCGGGGTGACTCCTGGCTTAAAACGGAGGAGGGAACGTGCTCAAAGACAACGGAGCATGCTGAGAGAGCAATATAAAAATAACATAACCCGACCCGACTGGTCGAGCACGGACGACCAAGGTAAGTGCGCATTGGTGTTTTTTCTGTTTAAGTCTATCAATATATTATGTATAGGTATCAAAGATTATTGGCAAGTCTCATATTATTAGTCGAGGTGCTCAGAAGCCAAACCGATCAACTCCATAAAATTAAAATTTTCAGGAGTTTTTCGAAACAATGTATGTAAGTACTATTACCAATGTACTTGGCGTACTCTAATGGTGAAAAATTCAACTATGGAGTTATTTATTGGCAATTTGAAAAAAAGTGGAATTAATCAGTTTGGCACCTGAACGCCTTAGATGTAATAAGTGTAAAACAAGTACGATGCCATGAACATAATGGTAATATTTACAGGTGAGAGTTCCGAAGGACAACAAAACGGACTGCACTCGTTGAATTTGTCGTTTTGCAACGGCGACTCGCAAGTGCAAAGGGAGAACTCGGTGAAGGACTTAACTCAGAAATTGACGAGCCTCCGGAGTCCGGACGAATCGCCCACAAAACTTGCACCCGCGCTTGGCGACATGAAAGGAATAATATCGAAAGCGATGGAAGGTTAGACGTCGCCGCGATATTATCCGAGGTGGTTTTCAAAAGGATTTTTTTTCTTCTAAATTTTTCCCACAGGGCTCGCCAAGTCTCAGTCGAAAAACGAAGTGGTAAAAAGTCCTACGTCGGATTCGCCGGCCGACGTGCTGTCCCGAAAGACTGAGACCGACCTGCATTGGGAAAAACTAGTAAGCGAGTGCAACCGGTCACTGCAACTGTGCGATTTGGACTTTTCTATACTTCATTCCGACGACGACTCGGACATATTCGCATCTTCCTCGTTGCTGGGCGGCGTCCCTCCTCCTCCGCCGCCTTGTCCTATGCTACCGCCTATGCAACAGCACGTAGTTAAGAAAACCAAAAAGACTGTCAAACTGTTTTGGAAGGTAAATCCGGGCACAATTATTATTAAAGCCAGCAACCCGACGATACGACGGCAGAGTTGAGCGAAATTTAATGTAAAAATGACGAAAACAAAACCAAAAGAAAGGAGATAGAGATGGACATGGAGTTGGAGATGAAGATGGGCTTGAGGTCCACAGCTTGCGTACGAGTCCGCAACCACGGGAGACATTTTCATGTGTGATATAAATATAAGGATATAAGGATACATAAGGATATATTTTCGTTAGGTTTTTTGGTAACGCAGTAAAAACTGTCCGGTTGTGTGCCAAAGTTAAGACATAAGATCTGGAGTTTGAGCTGAAGCTAGAGTTGAAGCTGGAGCTTCGGAGGTGGAGATGGAGTTGGAGATTAAGATAGAATTGGAGATGGAGCTTGAGATAACAGCTTGCGTACGAGTCCGCAACCACGGGAGACATTTTATGTTTATTTAATTATATATAAGGATATAAGGATATATTAGGATTTAAGGGTATAAAGATATAGAAGAATATAAGGATATATAAAAATATATCTGTAACAACTGTGAATAAGTGTGCAAGTCGATTTCAGTGATTTTACAGGGTAGCGATTTTAAACTTTGACCAGCTGCCATAAATCCCTACTTAGCCAATAACTCACATCTCTATCAAGGTTTTCTTGTTGGTTCAACGAGTTAGGCATGTATTCAAGGTGTGCTAGACGCCTCGGGCTATATCCTAGCGTACTTATTCAATTTTGACCAAAATTCGACTTACACGCTTATTCACAGTTGTTATATAAGGATACATTTTTGCTAGATTTTTGGTAACGCTGTCGATTTTTCCGGTTGTGTACCAAATAAAAGACATAACATGTCAAAAAGAATGTTTTAAAGAAATTATTATTTAAACAACGCCCCACTCTGTCGACGGACTCTGTTCTCGTATAGACACTTCAATGATGTTGGTTTGACGATTACAGGAAGTTCGAGACGACCCCGTTGCCAGAATGAAATTGAACTCCGAACGTTTGTTATGGGAAGAACTGAGCCCGGTAGAAGTTGATACTCATAAACTTGAACATTTATTTGAATCTCGAGCAAAAGACTTTATTACCAAGGTAGAAATAATAATAAGCAGCTGTTATTTTATTAATGTCATATAATACATTTATTATTGATGAAATTCGCTGTACATTTGGCCTCATGGTGGTTTCGGGTAACGCAAAAAATAGTAATACATTAATATGAGATACTTACCTTTATATTTGAATAATATAACAATACAATTTCATTAATGCTTAATAATCAACTGTGAAGCTTTATAATATAATGATATTTTGTTTGTTTTTAATGCGAAAAAACTGAAAATACATGGATTGTGTGTACAAAATATTGTTCCAGGAGGTAAGGCTTTTTTTTTATGCTTGTGATTATGGGGTGGAAGCTATAATTAAATTGTGGACATTATCGTTGTAGCGACTTATAATTCATATCATCGTTTAACATTGCGCATTTTCAGAAACAACAAGAAATGAATAAAACGAAAGAAGTAATCGTATTGGATCCGAAGCGGTCGAACGCGATAAACATAGGCATGACGAAACTTCCTCCTCCCAGGTCCATCAAAGCGGCCATATTGAAAATGGATCCGACAGTCATAAATAGGGAGGGCATAGAGGTGAAGGAAACACATAGGAAAATATATTGTAAAGAAATTGTTGCTAATTGTTGCTAATTTTAGAAACTCATGACCATGCTTCCGACCGAGGAAGAACGCACTAAAATCCAAGAGGCGCAATCGGCGTGTCCGGATCTTCCTCTCGGTAGCGCCGAACAGTTCCTACTGACACTGGCTTCCGTATCCGAGTTGCCGGCCCGGTTGAAATTGTGGGCTTTCAAGTTGGACTACGACAACGTGGAAAAGGAAATCGCCGAACCCCTTATGGACCTGATGCAGGGGATAAACATACTGAAAACGAACCGCACGTTCAAGGCGATACTGGGCACGTTGCTGTCGGTGGGAATATTCCTGAACGGGGCCGAAGTCAAAGGGTTCCAGATCGAGTATCTGGCCAAGGTGCCCGAGGTCAAAGACACCGTGCACAAGCATTCGCTGCTCCACCATTTGTGCCATATCGTCATGGACAAGTTTCCCGATTCCACGGACTTGTACTCGGAGGTAATACAATACAATCAATGTCTTTCTTCAATGTCGCCACGTTGACCGGTTTTTTGTACTTTGTCTGATCTGTATAGATCGGGGCCATCACGCGCGCGTCCAGAGTGGATTTTTGCGAAATTTCCTCAACCCTGTCGAAAGTCGAACAGGAATGCCGAGCTTCGTTTGATCATCTGAAAACGATCAGCAAACACGATGGCGCGTCTGCCATTAAGACCAAGTGCGTAGAGTGAGATGGCAATGGAAATGTCTTTTAAAGAATTTAACCACCTTTTTTTTTTTTTTCATCCTCTACCAGGATGTCGGAATTCCTAGCCGATTGCGCCGAACGCATCGTAGTGCTCGGCAAGGTGCACCGGCGGGTCATGAACCGTTTCCATAGGTTTTGCCTTTGGCTCGGCATACCTTTGCCCAAGGTGCAGTTCACCAAACCCAACGAGATGTGCCGCATCGTTTCCGAGTTCGCCCTGGAGTACCGCACGACCCGGGAGCGTGTCATCCAGCAGCTGCACAAGAAAGCTAGTCACCGCGAGCGCAACAAGACCCGGGGCAAGATGATCACCGAGGTCGGCAATAAGATCAACAACAACAGCCAAGACGCCGCCGACACGGAACTCCGGCAGCTGTTGGACAAGGATCCCTCGCACAGAGTGTACTCCTGGAATAGGAATCAAGGCCGGCACTCGATCGGTCGGTAGATCCAAAATTATATTGATTTTTTTTCCACATGATAATGTTTTTAGGTCAGGCCAGGATAGGAATTCGCACCCCAAGGGGGTAACGAGGGGTTGGTAGTTATAGTTTATCCTGCTAAAAATACAAATGTGCAAGCACAAATCAGATAAAACCAGACGGTACATTCCTACATAACCGAAACCATTCTCGACTCGGTGTGTGACCACAGTCTAAAAATTAAACTATTACACATACCATTTCACTGTAATATTTGATCAAATAATTTCAATAACATATCGGTGATAATTAACCAAGATACCAAGTAGATTATACATAGATTACCAAGTATACGTGCCGCCAATCAATAGAGATAAATTAAGTTGCCATTTTCTGCCATCTTTGTTGAAACTAGAACATTTATCACATGAAAATATGCTTATAACAATTTAAAGTTAAGGTAATAAGATAGAATCACAGATATATATATATTATTATATACACACATAAATCCTACAAAAATGGCGAACATCTAATTCCATTCTTATCGTTGGTTAGCATTCTAGTTTATTATACAGGGTGTCCCATTTTAAAATACTAATCGACTTTTCTCCTAAAATACTAATTAAATTAAAAGAGACTTTTAGAGTACAAAGGGAGACGTTAAAACAATTTTAACAAATATTGTTCAAAATGGCTGACTTACAATCAAAAACATTTTTTTTTTTAAATTGGAAACCATGTAGTTTTTGTTAACCAAACAAATGTTCTTATCAAAACTAATAACTTTCGTAGGAAATTGTTTTCAGTAAAACCCATAATTTGTAAATTAAGTCTCTTTAGCTAGTTTTGTTATTTTATTTTGATACATATGGTAACCGTGTGGTAACCTTGTATGTGTGGTAACCTGTATGTGGTAACCATAGTATGTTTATCATTTCCTAACCTAACCTTACCATTAAATTTTCATTATCTTTATAGTTAACGCTATCCTCTTTTCTGTGTATCACAAATACGAATACAATGGATACTACACACATGCCATGATTACCACACATACCAAGGTTACTGAAAATACCGTGGTTACAACACAAACCGAGGTTACCATATGCATCGAAATCCTAATAACAAAACTGAAAATAGCTAAAGAGACTTAATTTACAAATTAAGAAAACATTATCATGATTGGGCGGTTTTTTTTTTTAAATATATGGTTTATTGACAATTTTGTTCAACTTTAATAATAGCCAACACGAACGGTGTTCACACGAACAACGACGACGACGAATTAATCGAAAGCCTAGTGAAAACCGTCACTGCCACGCCGGCAGCCAACCCGAGGACGACTCAAAGAGAACGCAAAAGGACTAAGGACGCCCACAGAAAGTCATGTGAGTGATGTGTTAACAGTTATATGCATAATAATATTCATATAATTTATCGTTGGCTGTACGAACAAAAATTATTGTCTTAATATGATTTACCCACGCAGTGATCAAAAGGTCTCGAACTAGGGACGCTATAACGAGGCAAAGTAGCAGTCATTCTCGTAACTCGATGTCGTAGTTTTGGTAAATTAAAAATATAAATATTGGTTTCCGTTTGTGTCCCGTGTGATTTCTATGTTGAGCGTGATTAGACTTAGACAGACCCATAATAAGAACAATACAAATTCACTAGGAAGTATTAAAGAGAGTATATAGGTGCAATTATAACTGTGTTGGACCAATGCGATTTTATTTGTTTCTTTAAAAAAAAATCAACTTCAAGTACATTTAGGTATTCTATCCGAATTACGTCCACCTTGTATGATAAATTGTGCGCTTTACTAAAATTGCACTTTAACCCTTTGTACTTACTTGTTAAATATAATATTATGACTAGAGTATAGCACGGTCTACTTAATTACACACAATAATCCGTCGACTGTTTTTTGTTTTGAGCAAAAAAATCAGTTTCAATTACCATTAAAAATAATATATCACCAAAGTTACAACCACGAATGAATAATTATTCGATTATAGCGTTATTTATTTATTGTCTTATTATAAGTCTTAATTTATTTCCAAAATCAGATTGAGAGACATTGTCTACAAGATGTTGTTTGGTTTTCGGTTTCATAATAGGTGACATTTAGATAAAAATAGATAAAAAAAACTGTTCTAATTACTAAACTAATAATTGCACATTACGGTTTAACTTTTAAATTAAAAATGTCGCCTACACATAACTCCTTAATAAATAGTATCTTAATAGTTTTTTACCTGTTATCTTGAGCGACGGTGATATTATATGCTTGTGGTAAGCTTGGATAGCTTTAAAAAAACCAATTATTGCTGCCAATACTATTATTTGTGTGTGTTGTGTGTGTATCTCGTTTGTGTGATCTAAATCGGTTTAAGCATATTATTATTATTATTGATTTTTTTTTTCTATTGTGTAGTGAAGTAGCTTCATGTGTTTATTAATGTTTACAGTGAGGCGAACGTTGCGGAACGGATTGAGCGACGAGGACAAAAAGCACTTGGCATCTTTCATAAAAGGCTACTGAACTGTGATATAGAATTGACACCGAATTTTACGACTGATAATATATTAGACGTTTCTTAATTATTTTCTATTATAGATGTATATGTACACATTTATATGTATAAAAAACATTTTTCACTTTTTTTTTTTTACGGTTTAAACACAACCGTTTTCAAGTACGTCCCGTTTCGAGAGATTTTACTTCTTCCACAAACGTTCTCACATTGTTTTGTTTTTTTTTTCGTTCAATTATTATCTAACAGAAACTAAAGATGCAAAAAATTAAAAAAATGATGATCGTGTTGCACGTTAACGCGTTTATTGAATGATTAATTGATTATATATGTGATGTTTTGATGAAAGTACCTATGAAATATACAAATGTAATAATTATTGTTATACTATATTCAGAGCCGTTTTGTATTTTTTTTTTCAATCATCCCCAGGACAGACTTTTGCTCGTCTTCCCTTTAGGGTTTCCTGGAACGCCGTCAGCATAGGATACAATCCACAACCGCATTGATTGTTGAAGTCGTCGAAACCCAATTCCCAAAACATGGCGCCCTTCAGTTGTTTTTCCAAAATGAATTTTGTCTGTAAACACAATGCGCGTTTACATTATCGTTTTACAGAGTAGTTATTATAAACCCCCCCCCCCCGTACTTTTTCTATAAGACTTTCAACGCTGTCGTATCCGACCCAATCTCCTTGGTCGTTGTAAGCGTATGCGCCCACGTGCTCCAAGTAGACTTCGGTCCAATCGTCTTGTTCAATATGTATACAAATCTAGTTGTAGAAAAGCCAAAAACAAAACCGGTGTCAGGTATTGTCAATAAGTGATTACAATATTAAATGCAGAATCTGTACCTCTTGGAATGACAGAACTCCCACTTCTCCGGTAAATTTTCCAGCATCCGGTTCGCGGTTTGCCGGGGCGCCTATGCCGTTTGAGTTTATGTCGGCCAACTTGAACGACTTACCGTACAGCGGCATTCCCAAGACCACTTTATCCGGACACAGGCCTTTATCCAGCCAATATTGGACCGAATCTTGCTAAATATAATAAAAAATCATATTCAGCTAACTATTGTTAAATACACTCTTAATGCACAATGTTAGCTGTTTCAAATTCGTTTAAATTTAACATCCGGTCAAAAGAAATGAGTTTCAATATTATTATTGTTAAATTGTGTGTTTGTTAAGTTTACCAAAACAGGTTACCAAAGCGGTTACCTCGATTCCAACGTTCTCATTGGTTATTAAGCTATGTGATAAGTTATCACTGATAACTGATAAGTGATTGTGTATTATCTTTAATTTGTCAATTTGTATTATTATTTGGCATTTTATTTTACTTTTTTTTTAACGTTTCGGTTTGTATAAATAGTTTATTTATAATGTTTTAACACATTGTTTAGATAGTCTGTACCTTTCTAAAAATAGTTTATCATTAAAATAATATTTTCTATTTTAAAGGCCTAAAAAGAAAAGTAGGTAGCGATAGGAATTATTTCCATTGTTATACTCGGGACAGGCAAGACATTATAAATATTATCTAAATTACAAAATACAATAAATGATGATAATATTTTAACCTATAACGCAAGTCTGTGCCATTCCATTTTACCTAACCTACCTACATAAAAAAACTTTTGCTTACCTAATAACGAGTTATCGAAGATGTGTTTTCTGCTGTTTTCTAAATACTCGATATAAAGAAGTTCCTCATTAAATGTGTAATTCATTATTAAATATTACTAGTATACTCAGTCAACAAAAATTATAAAACAATTTCTGAACTCTAATAGTAAAAATATTATACATAAGTACTACAATACATTTTACCAAGCCGATTTCGGGTGATTAATTTAACAATCGTTTTAACAATGTGTTAAGGCTAACAACGAATCTCGTTGTTAAGTATAATTAACAGTAAATTAAATTCTTAACAAATGTCGATCAAACGGCTGAAACCGGTTGATTATGTACTACTGCAGATTCAAAATTAGCATCCCCAAAAATTCAAACCCCAATCCTCGGATTTGTTCACGTACAATTTCAATGATTTAATAAATAGGTACCCTATTCAAATTCAGAAGCCAAACTGATTAAGAGGCAGTTAGGAAGTTATTGGAAACAATGTGTGTAAGTACAATATTGTCAACGTACTTGGCGCACTCTAGTGGTGAAAAATTGAAACTATTATTAGTCATTTATCTGGGCCACTGAAAATTATACACTTTTGTGTAATCCAACTAATGCGCCTCGTATAAGAATAATTCGGTTTACATCGGATTTTTAGCACCTCCAAAATTTTAGGGTCTAGTAGTCGCTCCTATGAATATTTGCAAGTCGTTAGCAGCCAGCTTACCACGTTCCACGGTCTCGTTTCGCCCAGTTGGTTGGTAAAAGGCGCACAAAGTCCAGTTTTATTATCCCTGTAACTATAATAGTCGTACGCCATTAAACCTATCCAGTCGGCATTCAGGTTGAGCACGTCCACTTCGTAAGACACGTCCACCACCTCCGGATTGGCCGAAACCGCGACGGTCAACAGGAATTTGTCGGCTTGGAATTTTTTCTTCAAGCCTTTCAGCAAGTAGGAAAACATTTTCTTGTCGTGGTCGCCCGGTGACTTGGTGGTGGCCTGAAACGCGAAAATTTGTCACATACAACCGACCTAAGCTGCTAACCTAGCCGGCCGGTTGTGTCGAATCTCTAATTAACCCTCACCTGATAGTAACCGGGATACTCCAAGTCCATGTCTAAACCGTGGAAATTGTTGTCCTTGATGAATTTGTGCGCGTTCACGATGAACTCGTCGATAACCTGTTCGGATTCGAAAAGAGGACTCAACTGTTCAGCCGTGGAATATGTCCAACCTCCAAACGCCAAAAGGATTGTCTTGCCTTCTTTGGCACAGCCCGTTAAGATGGGAACGAGTCCTGTAAATAGCATTTTTTGATGTTTATCAGACGATAATGATTTATTTGTCAGGAGCCAGATTTAGGGGAGATGACATTTTTTTGTAACTTAAATAATTGTAACCTGTACGTTTAATCGGTATTTCTGAATTAAGAATTTTTAACTCAAATAACTTTTACACGGGTAAAAGCACAGGTTTTACACACTCAAAACTTGTCTTAATGTGTGAAAAACAAATTAATAACGTATAAGTTACCAGTTTTAGATTACAAAAGAACCCCCTCCCCCCTATCTAAATTTGGTTTCTGGCTGTAAACAAAATATAAAACGTTTTGAGTTATTGTTTTTTGAAAATAGTCAAAAATTTGTTTTACAAATGTCGTTTTTTCAAAATTTTTTGTATATGATCAAGTTTTGTACGTGCATACAAGATGTGTTGTTTTATTTTTAATACACCAATTAAACAAATTATACAAAATAACTGGCCATTTTCTTTCCTTTACCATTTTTTTTTGTCTGATAATACTAATTTTTGCTTTATTTTAATTCTCTATAACTCTAAAAAAAAAGAATTGATCTTATATTGTCTTATAATTTTATTGGTAAACACAATTTTAAATATTATGCCAAATATACTGCAAACAGTGGAAAAATATTGGTTGACATAAAAAAATCAGAAAATTGCAAGTATTTTTTTTAAACAATTTTTATAGACTGTAACTGTAAAGTATAGAGACCTAAAAACATTATGGATTTAAAGATTTTGGCTTAATATTTTAGTTTCTATACGAAGCTACTCAGGCAAGAAAGTATTGTTTTTACAATAAATATTCCATTAACCAGGACAAACATACCACTAATTCATAAGCCATTAAAAAAATCAAGACATGTTTTCCAACCCATTCCTTGCTGGTGTAGTAGTTTTTTGGTTTTTCTATTTTTTTAAAAAATAATTTTGAGCTAAAAACCACAATCGATGACTAGAAATAGTTTTTAGTAATCGACAAGCTTCTTTTATTTGTTTTATTAAAAATCCTCGCTAGTCCCTACTAACATAATAATCTGTAAGCATTATTATTACCTATCTCTGTATAACATATACCTTTTGATCCAAAACCGTCTTTCATATTATTGAGTAAACGTCAAAGTGTGTAAAATTTACACACGTTCAAGTGTTGGATTCGATCACATACCTTTATTTATTTTGTTAGTGTGTACTTCAGAGAAACACATAAACTATTCAATAAGAAAGTTCAGTCTATAACGCGTTCAAACGTATCATCCACTGTTTTTCAGTTTATAAATTATTATTCCATCGTTTTCACATATTATATTACACAACATAAACGCCATTTACAAGAGTACTAGTATCTCGATTATTCGTAATGGCAACAAATCCGTGTGTTATAAGTTTAACGGTCAAGTTGGTTATCTCTTTGACGACTGTGACGTCAAGTCCATTAACCGACAAGCTTGTACTTAGACCTATCGACGACCAAGTAAGAAATGCAGTAGACGAGTTGGATCTTCGCGACAAAACAAAGGTGAATTAAACACATAAAACGTATGCTACTTGTAATTATATATTTATGCCTCTTTTATAAAATATTTAAAACTGAGTTCCCCCTAAAAATCTTTAGCCTCTATTAAAACCCACCAACTACTGTTACTGGTAAATAATTATATTGATGTTAATGAATAGTATGGATTTTTTTTTTATCTGAATCACAAAGTATATTTTATACCTACCGCCATGTATTTTATCATTATTGTAGGTCGCACACAATGTACGAACTTTTGTTATTTTCACGGGTTTGCCAGGTTTGCTTATTTTGTTTGCTCACCTGGCGAACAAAGGCCTTTGACTTGCTGTCGAACCGGCGACAGTGAGCGCTAACACACCGCCACCTTACCCACTCGGCCACTTCTCCTCCTACTATCATATTACACATGATAAAAATTTTGACTACAATTTGTTCTTTCCTATCAAACAACACTACATTTTTTAACGTTGCGGCGAGGATGTACTTTAACTCGCTGTTATTTAGTTGAAAATTGGTCGGGTCGAGTTTAAATATTTAGTATAAGTCATATTTTTTTTGATGTGCCTCTTTTGAAAACGATTCGACGCTTTGTGTGGTGTTGACTTGACTGTGTAAAACACTGGGAAAAGTTCATTCCCTATTCTAAACCATTTTTTTTTTCAATAAGCACCACTAAATGTTAGTTTTGCAAACTTTAAAAATTATCTTTCTGAAAATAGTGATTATATCAATACATATAACTATCGGAGTTTGGACTAAGTTAAATTAGGTTATATTACTATAGTGTTATAAATAATATTTCTAAATTAATTAAACAAATTACACGTGTAACCTATTATAAATCAGTAAACTACACACTTTCCGTATTTCTTTTTTGAGCTTCCATAATTTCAGTACTTAAATCCTAAAATTAAGCTAAAAAAAATTAGGAAAAAATGAAAAACCTTCCCCCTTCTGGGAGTTTGATGAAGTTTGGATCTGAGGCTATATATCAAAGTGTATCCACACCTAATAAATGTGTGGATGTATTTTTTAAAAATTTTTAGTATGGTTAAGTTAGGTTAGGTGAGTACAATAGTATTAATAGATATGTATTCTTTCTCAGCTTCAGAGGCCGTCGAGGCCCTTTGCTGCAACTTACACTTCCTTCCATTTCTCTCTGCCCAATGCTACCTCTCTATGGTTTTCCACTCCTAGCGTTGTTAGATCCTTTAAGACTTTATCATACCATCGTTGTTTAGGCCTGCCTAAGAGCCTCTCCAATTTCCAATGCAGAACATCTTTTGCAATCGTGTTAGACCTTAGCATGTGACCTAGCCAGCTTAGTCTTTTGGCTCTAATTACCCCAATTATTTTTGGTTCTCCAAAGATGTTATATAATTCTTCATTTGATCTTATTTCATATCTTAGTGTTAAATTGTTTATTTTTGGTCCACATATCTTCCTTAGGAACTTTTATTCCACTATTGCCAGTTTTCTCTCGTCCTCTAAAGTTGTTGGCCGTGTCTCGCATGCATACGTTATGATAGGTCTTGTTATTACTTTGTAAAGTCTCATTTCATAGGATTTCTTTGATAGTAGTTTTGAGCGCAGACACTTGTATGTAAGCACCTGTTGCCTGCTGAAACACGTTTCATTAGCTCTTCGTGGTTGTTATTTTGGCTGTTCAGTTCTGTGTCTAGATACTTAAGGCTATGTACTTTTTCAAATTTGTACTCTCCAACCTGTATGTTCCTTGTCTGATGTATGTGTAGTTGCTGCCTTGTTATACACATATACTTGGTTTTCTTTTCGTTTATTTCAAATCCTATAGCCTTTGTACTTCGTATTAATTCTTCCGTTGCTAGTTTTATATCGCCTTCAGTTTCCTCAAGCACTACAATATCATCAGCATACGCTAATATTGACACTGATTTCCCTACGTCAATTCCTTTATATTTAGTATGTATGCTCCGAGCTACCACCTCCAGTGCGATGTTAAAAAGTGGTTTATATACTAAAATAAAATAAGAAATCCAAAAAAATAACTTGGTTAAATACAAAATCAACTGTGAAAATCATTATTAGTTCGTCAGGTAATGCCCAAGTTGAAAAATGCAATTCATATATTATACAATGAATATAATGAACCTAACCTACCATTTGATTCAACAACAGGGGCCGTGTCAATGTTTTCAATTCTGTGTAAATTAACTGTTCCAACTTCCAATGATTTGTTTTATGTTGCATACAACAATCTATTCTACATTTAACATTTAGCTTTATTTTTAATATTACAAATGTCCATTAGGATGCGTTATTGAAACAATACATCAATGTCGGAAATTATTCAAACGATTTCATTGAACTTCTGAACACTTACAAGACGTTCAAGAACCCTCCCATCAGTTTTAATGATGACGAAATAAGATTATTGACTACCAGTAACACAGAAGATTCAATAAACGATAAAATACTCGCTCAACTGAATTACTATCGCAAGATTCAAGAAATTCAGTGCGCCGACTATTTGATATTGCAGTACATGTTGTATGATACTGAACCGAATACAGAAGAAATTGCTAAGTATGTATACAGTATGATAGCGATGGCATACAAAGGGAAATCCGTTGTATTTAAGTGGCTTTGGGAAATGTACTCGATATCACCTTGTGTCACCGACTACGGACGACGTGGTACAACCATTAAATATGATGATGCAAGATTTTGAAAATTTTCGAAAACCTTTAGCCGATTTGGTAGAAATGTGTGTGCGACATAAATATATAACAGTCATAGATAATGATCAACAAAACCCTGATCGCAAAGTAAGTAGGCCACATAAGGTACATAAATGTATGAGATTTTTTAATTTTAAGATTAAAAAACATAGACACTATAAACCGATGTTGGAGGAATCAAGTAGTAGGCCAAATTTGGTCGTTAATATTGAGGACTTTTATAAGTGGAACCACGAAAAACATGAACTATTTAAAAAAAATACACCTGCATTGCCTCTCAGTTTCAACCATTTATCCTTAGCATGTGTATGGCAGTGTACGACGTTTTTGATTGAACCAATACCGAACGTAACTATTGACTGGACTGCGATAGAGAAGGCGTACACATTGGATCGTCAAACGTTTGAAAAGTGTAGTTTCACTAACTGGAAGGAGTATCCGTTTACATATATTCGTTTTCAAAAATCATTTAGAGATATCATAATGCTAAAACTATATTGTTATATTTATGTGCTAATATCTGTGTATGACCCGTCTGATTATTTATTTAATGTTTTTTTTAAGTCCCTGATTTCCGATATGCTTAAGTTCAGTTACATCGAAGACAAAACATTAAACAAAGTAATAACGTTGTATGATAAAGTCGATGAATCTAATAAAGAAGAGATTGAAGAAGTTTTGCAAATAATAACAGATGAAGTAAATACGATTTTGTCAAATTTAATTATTGGGTATACTAATAAAACTAAATTGGCCGACTTTTCAGACATTGAAACACCATCATGTACTCATTTTCAAGTCCTACTTAAAAGACAATTAGACGATTCAAAATATTTTCTAATGAAAATTAATAAACAACTTATAGAATTTATCCAACAGTTTAGTAGAAGTTTAGACGGATTAACATTGGATGTTTTATCATTCTTTATCAACGCAAGTAAAAATACATACCTTGATGTATTCCCTGAAAATTGATTCAAATGCATCTCATACGAATATAACAAATAATAACGTTACATACGCTTGTTACTAAAGTTATAATAATTACTATAAAAAAAACCGTTTGTCGTTTCTTTTATGATAAATAAATAAACACATATTTCCTTTAACCGTGTCCAAAAACATTAAATTTTTTTACTATGGTATTTAAACTTAAGGTTAAGCTAAGTGAAAAAAGATTAATCGAATACTACAGAATTATAGAATGGCCTATAGACAATAATATAATAACTTGTTATCACACAAATAAAAACAAAATTATTCCTCGTTTAACGGAAAAAATATATGGGAAAAAAAAGATTAGTAAAGGGTTAGGGAGGTTAAGGTCCAGCACCAGGCACCAGTGATTCTCAAAATAAAATACACTTCAATATATTATATTTTATAGGTACCACGAGTTATCAGTACTCCTTAATAAAAAAAAAATAGTTAATTGTTACCTCAATTTTATTATAATGATAATTTATATTTGGCAATTGATTGTACGAACATTATTTCAAAGATGTTAATTTGGTACTCAGATAAAGTTATTCGAAGTTGCTCTTGGTACGCTAACAATGTTCAGGTAAGAGACACTCGTGTCTATCATGGTATATAATAAGATATTTTTAAAAAAGGTATCAGGTAGCTAACGTATTACACGCTGTTATTTATTCGCCTTGTGTGGAGTTAATACAAAAATCATCTGTGAAATTCCCTTAATACTAAAAAAAAACTGTGAAAATCCTTTATAGTCCAACAGGCAATGCCCAAGTTGAAAAATGCAATGAGTATGTTCATATTTAACTGTCTTTATATTATAAATCGAACAACAGCTTGCCATTTGGTTCATTTACCAGGAATCATGTCAATGTTTTTATTTCTATATAAATTAACTGTTCCAACTTCCGACGATTCCAATGATTTGATGTATGTTACATAATAATCTATTCTAAATTACACATTTAGCTTTATTTTTAATATTACAATTTCCATGTTGTTAGGTTGCGTTATTGGAACAATACATCAATGTCGGAAATTATTCAAACGATTTCATTGAACTGCTGAACACTTACAACACGTTCAAGGACCTTCCTATCCGTTTTAATGATGACGAAATACGATTATTGACTACCAGTAACACAGAAGATTCAATAAACGATAAAATACTCGCTCAACTGAATTACTATCGCAAGATTCAAGAAATTCAGTGCGCCGACTATTTGATATTGCAGTACATGCTGTATGGTACTGAACGGAATACAGAAGAAATTGCTAAGCATGTATACATTATGATAGCGATGGCATACAAAGGGAAATCCGTTGTATTTAAGTGGCTTTGGGAATTACATATCACCATTTGGTCACCGACCGAGGACGACGCGGTACAACCGTTGAATATGATCGTGCAAAATTTAGAAAACTTTCGAAAACCTTTAGCCGATTTGATAGAAATGTGTGTCGGACATACATATATAACAGTCATAGATAATGATCAACAAAACCCTGATCGTACAGTAAGTAGGCCACGTTTGTTAAGGAATTTTGTGAAATGGTTTAATTTGAAATATAAACACAATAAACCTGCGTTGGAGGAATCGAGTAATAGGCCAAAGTTGGTCGTTAATATCGAGGAATTTTATAAGTCGAACCACGAAAAATATGAACTATATAACAAAAATACACCTGCATTGCCCCTTAGTGTCAATCATTTATCTTTGAGATATGTATGGCATCAAACATCGTTTTTGATTAAACCAATACCGCGCGTTACTATTGACTGGGATTCTATAGAGCATTTATACATATTTGATCGTCAAAAGGCCTATGATCAGTTTGAAGTTACCCATGACTGGAGAAAAGAACCGTTTAAATATATTCAATTTCAGCAATCGTTTATAGATATCATCAGGGTAAAACTATATTGTTATATTTGGGTGAAATTATCTATGTATAAACCGACTGGTTATTATTTTAAATCCCTGATTTTCGACGTGCTTAAGTTCAGTTACATTGAAGACAAAACCTTAAACAAAGTAATAATCATGTATGACGATAAACCTAATCAAGAGCAGATTGAAGAAGTTATGAAAATAATATTACATGAAGTGAATACAATTTTGACAAATTTAATTAGGAGTACTAATCAAACTGAATTGGCCGACATTTCAGACATGGACAAACCGTCATTAATTCATTTTGAAGTCGAACTTAATAAACAATTTGAAGCATTCGGACGACAGTTTAATGGAAGATTGAACGGATTAACATTGGATCTTCTATCGTTCTTTATCGACGGAAGTAAAAATACACATCTTGCGGTTTTCCCTGAAAATTGATTTATATACATCACATACCTAATACGGATATAATAATTCTAAAAATAATGGTTACAAAAGTTATAATAATTAATATCAAAAAGCCATTTGCCGTTGGTGTTATAATAAATAAATAAACACATATTACTTTTGACCGTGTCACTTTTAAATAAACGCTTCGATGCGAATTTGTGGATAATATGTTCAAACCGGTTATAAACCGGTTTAGAAGTGATATCGCGGGACCAGCAATAATGTACTTAAAATTTAACATTTAGTCTTGTGCAGGGTGGATACGATAAGGGATGATCGTCTGTCTGTACAAATGTACCGTCATAGTTACCCATATATCGTAATTAACAATATAATGACAATATTTTCATTACCTGTTGACTGTTGATTCACACACACATAGCAGCCTGGAAACTGACTATGGCCAAAGTGTAAATTTACCCTGTTTTTGGGATTTTTACTTAATAAAAAAAAAAAAAAATTTACTACAGATTTTTGAGAAATTTGTAAAAAAACACATCATTGTAAACGCACCGAAGCTAAAATGTACAAACAAATTTTTGAATTTTGATTTCCTTAAATGTACTCAAACAGTAATTAGCCATTCTCTATGTAGCTTTACTTCACCTTTATTACTTCATCTGGTCTCCTCTCACCCAAAGACGACTAAAAATATTGTATGAGCTTTACCTTGGATTATTTAATTTTTTATTTTTAAGTGGTCTGTAATGTTACGACGGAAGATTCTATGCAAAAGCCGATTAAACAGATAGTTTTTAGAGCACAACTTATTAAGAAAATTATTATAATTTTATCAAACTATCTAAAATAAATTTGTTAAAAGTAAAGCGTTTTTATAAAAAACATTTTTTTTACTTCTACTTTTTTTTTTTACTACTACTAAATTCTTACAGTAATGCGTTTTTATAATTTTTATTTCTTAAAATAGTTCTTTAACAACTAAACCGAATGATACATACGTTAAAAAAGATATAGAAACGGATATATCTACACATTAAGTTTATAGAACTTTTTTCGAATATATTTAATCTAGTTGTAATTCTGTTCTTTAGATGTATACAAGTATGAACTCTCAACACTGCCAACTATGCACTTACCCTGCACAATGTATGATTACCAAAAAAGTATACATGGTGATTGTTTAATTATAATAATTTAATTTTAACCTTTCCTCCTGTCCTGGATTCGGATAACTTTACAAAAAGCTATCCCACACCGGTTATCGACCAGTGATAATAATTTTTAGTAGATACCTAATCAGTTATACCTTGGGCCATGTCCTCGATGAGCAATCCGTTTTTCTTGTGGTCGTACTTGGCGAACGAGTACACCAAATGTGTGCATGGCGTCTTGCAAACGTCTATTTTCTTAATGTCGTACGAACCGGCTCCGGGTCTATAGTGCGACCAATCGGTGAAATAACCGACCACGACCTTACCGTCGATGCAGCTACCTGTGTGTATGAGCACAGCGATTATATTTCAATAGAAAACAAATTCAAAAAATAACAATAAAATTTGATAATTACACGAAGGCGCCAAGGCCAGCAGCGACAGACAGGCGAAAACCGACAAAATTGTTTGCATCATAAGTTCTGGCATACCTAACACCACAGCGCGGATAGGTTTGAAAAATGTTTGTTTCCAAATTGAAAATGTGTGTACAAATCCAAACTAATATATACCAAGTCAAACCGCACGGATTTTAATGCGCGTCCATGATCGCATATTTTGTTTGTCAATGTACACATTGACTGTATAAATCAGGTGTAGGTGCGTGCAAATAAAAAATATACATATGTACTAAGTCAATACCTAGTCAAAATAGACAAAAAACAAAAAAAAAACACTGGGAAATAATAAATTACCGCACTTTTAGCTGTTAAAAAACACATTCAATATTAGCCGCTGTGTTTTGGCAATTATATAACAGTAATAACAATATTAAAAGTATTTAAGCCTATAACAATAATATATATAATATCTATTGTGTATAATAGGCTGTTTTAATAATATATATGTTGCATCATGAATTTTTAAACCATATCCTTGATATGTTGTCCAAAGCTGTACAAACACAGAGGAGAAGTACCTAATTAGATGAACAAAATGATACTTAACTTAATGGGTAAATGTAGGTCGGTCAATAAATTAAATTCCCAATAGTTTGTGAGTTGACTGTTGTAAAAATGTATTCATTATCGAATGCTCTACTTAATTTTTACTGATTTATTGCTACTGATGTATACATATAGCTACTTAATATTATTCATATTGTTATACACTGCAACAGAGTAAATAAATTATCATGCGCATTTTTTTTTCATCCCAACGATGCTGCCAAAATGTATATATTATTTTTATTTGTAAAAAAAAAAAAATAGAAAAAATCAAATCGAGTTACAAAATATGCTGGCGTTTATTTTTCAGAAGATATTTACCACTATAACGTTAAATGACTTATTAAAATAACACTTGTGGACACAGTGGACTTTAAATACTGAAAGTTAAGAAGTGATAGATGTTGATGTCTTCATCTTTAAAATTTCAGCAGAAATTGTATTTTATTTCTACAGTTTATTTTAATTACAATAATTATTAGATAGGTCATTGGAAAAAAAAATCATTACAGTTGTTTACAACCGTTAAAAAACTACATGTTAATATATTTAAATATTTGGATATAATTGAAAAAAACTTTAAAAAAGAATATCTACATACAATTATTATTTTTCTTTGTGGTAAAAAACGAATACTCGATAATATTACTAATATATTTTTATCAAATCTTACATTCGTAAGACTACAATCTATTATTTTATTCACACATATTATATGCCTGTTTGATTAACGTGGGTATTTATAAAACAATATGCGCAAATTACAATTACAACTATTTAATGTATCGAATAATATTTGTTATCTGTCCGTACACGGTTGCCTATTCCTTTGAACTATATCAACAATAAGTAGACAGGTAGGTACTTGTTGTAATAATTAAAAGATAACAATTATTGTTCAATGTAAAATCAAAACGACTTAAGTACTTAATACTAATCATGCGTTTGTATCTATTTGAGTGGCCGGTGATTAGTCAGGGAAAAAGAATACTCGTTTAAATATTATTTCAACGAGTACACACAAGTCAATTATAATAATACAATTGTATTGAAGGCACTATAATAGTATGTTGTTGGAACGTATCATACACATGTTTCAATGAATCGTTTAAAAAATTAGTCCAAATAAAGTCCACAAAAAGAAAAATCAAATTTACAATAAAAATTAACGGCGATGATGGAATAATAATAACTATTTAAATGACCACTTATGTTAAAAAAACAATGTAAAAAATATGAAAATTCTTATATTGTGTTTAGAAACAAATAAAATATATATATTGCACATAAAACATATTATAAAAAAAGCTTATAATTTATTAAAAAAGATAACTTAGTACTCGTGGAGGAAGAGAAATTAACAATAATATTTTATATTTGTTTAATTATAAATTATTATCACAGCAAAAGAAGATTAACTACTACAAGAAATTTGTCTTACATTTCATGTAAATTAATATAAGGCGTGATTCACTATGAGACAGTTGAGGTCTCTATTAAGATTCATTTAAACATCTTAGTTGTTTTTTTAATGCTATCTTCACCATATTTGACAAACTATTAATATATGTATATATTATAATATTTTCAAATTGTAACCGAATTTTCCTTTAGACGTTTTCTCGTGAAAGCTATACAAGATTAGTAATGTATTACACTTGTATACAAATACTACAGAACGGCCTTATCACTCTGTTTATTGTTGTACTTGTCCGTAAGTGGTGTTTAGCAAATGATAAAAACGCGTTTTGATCGTTTTAATTAAAAATACACGCTATATAACGCGTACAGTTTCGCAAAGTGATCAAAACGCCTTTCGAAAACGTTTTGAATTTTATTTTTTAAGTATTGAGAAATTTCCAAAAACCATGTGGTCGTACAATGTGGTTTGGATAATAACTTTTCTGAGTGCTTCTTTGTTTTCCATCGCAAACTCATCGCCAACGGACAACACCGGTTTCAGGATTATACATGAAGTGAACCACGACCCTGCTAGCACATGGAAGGTATGTGTGATGATAAACAATTTAATTTTTCACCGGTAATTTACTATATTATATTAATAACAACTCTGCTTTAGGCCGGCGAGAATTACATACCGGGCGACAACCCGAAAAGGTTGATGGGCGTTCTTCCTAGAGACGATAATGCGTTCAGACTGGCTCCTATCAAGAAACGCCAAGACACCTTCACGAACGACTTATTGCCGGTTAACTTTGATGCCAGACAACGATGGCCTGAATGTGCTTCGCTGTTGGCGTCGATAAAAGATCAATCCAACTGCGGTTCTTGTTGGGTGAGTCAGCATTACCCTCTCTTTTTCGTGTCGAAACAACCACCCTGAGGGTGGAATTATTTAAATTCAGATTTATAATAGAGAAAAAACACAGGTAATCGCTACTATTTTGAAGTTTGCAAAACTACTATTGTAATAAATAAATATTGAAATTTATAAAATCACTTTTAAACTAAACGCTTCGATGCCAAACTGAAGATGGTAAAAACAAATAACTTCAGTTATATCAGTCGATTTAAAAAAAAATTCAATAAAATCGATTACCGGTATTATACCTACTATCCATAGTAATGGGATATATAAATCACTTTAAAAAAAAAAATAAATGTGTTTATAATTGTGTCATTTCATTTTTGTAAGTTTGCCTCGATAGAAATAACGTGACTTTTTTTACAATTTATTTATCACATAAAATGTTTAAATAACTTTTTACTTTTTAGTGAAATTTTTGGTAAAATCAGGTCGATTTGAAAAATGTAGGAAAAAAATCAACAAACATTTTAAAACAAACGATTATCTTCATTTCATGTCTTTAGTTTGCCTCGATAAAAATAATGTGACCCAATTGTTTTGTTATTTTACAGTTTATCACAAAAAATGTAAAATCACTTAAAAAATTAATGTATTTCATTAACTTCTTAAATTGAGAATATGTTATCGAATCGATTTGAAAAATGTACAAAATAATGAACAAACCTATAAAAAAAAAATTCATAAATTTCACGTTAGGTTAATCGATTACCAATATTATACCTACTAGACATAGTAAAAATTAAAAACCCCACTAGTTTCATCAACAATATTACATTTGATAAGAACTATTTTATTTGTAATCGTGTTTTTAGTTTAAATGAATAAAAAATAGTTTGCCTTGTTGAAAAATGTTATAAGGTATATACGTCCACAAAAGATATAACTTCATTGATTGTTGGCAGACCTTAAGTAAAAAAAAAAATAAAGATTGTAAATGTTCTGGGCAAAATGTAGAATATGGTTTTCTTGGTTTTTCACTGTAAATCGTTAAGTTCGGTTAGGTAGTACATCCAAATATTCTTTACACATTAAGACTATAACACCTTTCAATACCTTCTGGCGGCTCCGCATAGGATTTAAAATAAATATACTTATTCAAGCGCAATGCAGACCTTGCATTACTCCCATAAGTTAGAAATTGTTATGAATCGCCTGTTATAACTAGAAATACTAATTTTTAAGGCCGTGTCCGCTGCATCTGTGTTCAGTGACCGATTGTGCATAGCCTCTGGCGGCGCTGTGGCCATCAATTTATCTGCTGAACAGCTGAATTCTTGTTGCTATAGATGTGGCAATGGATGCGACGGTGGATATCCAGAAATGGCTTGGCATTTCTTTACACGACACGGACTCGTTACCGGCGGAGATTACAATTCAAACGAGGTCAGCCGCATTTCAGATAGCTGTTATATAAATCCAAGTATAAACTACTCTCCGTAGTCTTAGCATCAAACTAAGATCCAAATTTGGAAACTAATTGAGTCGCTTAAGAGCGCTCTTTCGCAACGTCAAACTTGTTTAACTATAGCTTTTCTTACAAAAATCAGTACACCTATTTCGACTAGGAAAACTACAATGATTAATTGCCAATGTTAAGGGTTGTCAGCCGTACAGCATTTTCCCGTGTGGCCGTGGACGAGCCAGGTGCATTGACGACGACCCAGAGACTCCAGAGTGTTTTGTGAATACTTGTTCAAATTCAAATTACACCGGAGATTACAGGGCTGATTTACATTACAGCAAGTGTCGTTCGACTGAACTATTGATAGCTGTTGTCGGTAAAATCAAACGATGAATGATTAACCGACTCTTTATTGTTTAGCCGATGACGTGTACACTTTGACCACCGAAGAAGACATTATGCATGATATATACACCAAAGGGCCGGTTCAAGCCGTGTTTGACGTTTATACCGATTTCATGTACTACAAAAGTGGTAAGTCCGGTATATTTCACTAGTGCTTTCATTTAGTTTATAAGTCAATCGTCCCAGATCTCGAATTTTACATCTCCCACATTATCCACACACACACAATTGTTTACTCTGATCGTTTTTGAATACTTCCGAGTTCTGATCGACTTTCTTGTAACATTTTTTCCATTACTATTATTATAGGAGTATACAAATATACCAGAGGTGCTGCAGAAGGCGGCCACGCTGTTCGTATCTTGGGCTGGGGAGTGGAGAACGGCTTAAAATACTGGCTGATTACGAATTCCTGGAGCTCGTCTTGGGGAGATAAAGGCTTGGTAAAAATATTAAGAGGAGTGAATGAATGCGGTATCGAGAGCGGAGTTATAGCGGGAACGCCTCATTTGCGAAAACATTGAATACAACAAACAACTATTATTTTATTCACACATATTACATGCCTGCTCAAAACATGTAATTTACGGTATTTATAATACAATATGTGCAAATTAAAATTACAGCTGTATAATACACATTGAATATTTGTTTTCTGTCCGTAACCAATTGTCTATTCCTTTGAACTATATCAATAATAGACAGGTAGGTGCTTGTTATAATATTAAAAGATAACAATAATTGTGCAATGTAAAATCAAAACGACTTAAGTACTTAACACTAATTATGCGTTTGTATCTATTTGCGTGGCCGGTGATTAGTCTGGTAAAATATACTCGTTTAAATATTATTTCAACGAGTACACATAAGTTAAGTATAAATAATTGTATGAACGCACTAAAATAGTATACTGTTAGACTATTAAATATACATGTTTCAATGAATCGTTTAAAAATTATTCCAAATAAAGTCCACACAAAGAAAAAGAAAGTTGACAATAAAAATGAACGGCGACGATTGAATAAAAATAACTATTCAAATGTCCACTTCAATTAAAAAATAATTTATGCACATGAAATATAAAAATTCTTATTTTGTGTATATTTGTGTAATTACAAATTATTATCATAGCTAGTCTGATCATCATCAGCGTGATTCACTATGAACCAGTTAATATCACTATTAAGGTTCATTTAGTGTTTTTTTATTTTCAAATTGTTTGTAACAAAAACATATATTTTAAATTGCTATCATCACCATATTCCTCAAACTATTTATATGTATTATAATATTTTCTAGTTAAAACAAAATTTTCCTTTAAAGGTTTTCTTCAAAAAGCTAATGTAATGTATTACCCTGTATACAAATACTACAGAACGGCCTAATCACTATGTATATTGTTGTATTTTTTTTTTTTTTTTAGTAGCCTTTAATATTGTTGTATTTAAGATGAAATCTTATATTTTTTTAAATATCACAATCAATCCACTTGTCCGTAAGTGGTATTTAGCAAATGATAAAAACACGTTTCGATGGTTTTAATAAAAAAAACACTCTATATTCAATATGTATTGAAAAAACGCATACAGTTTCGCAAAGTGAGCAGTCACCGAAAAACGCCTTCCGAAAACGTTTTGAATTTGATTTTTTCGATAATATTTTTTAAGTATTGGGAAATTTCCAAAAACCATGTGGTCGTACAATGTGGTTTGGATCATTTTTCTGAGCGCTTCTTTGTTTTCCGTCGCAAACTCATCGCCGACGGACAACACCGGTTTCAGGATTATACATGAAGTGAACCGCGACCCTGCTAGCACATGGAAGGTATGTGTGATGATAAACAATTTAATTTTGCACCGGTAATTTACTATATTATATTTATAACAACTCTGCTTTAGGCCGGCGAGAATTACATACCGGGTGACAACCCGAAAAGGTTGATGGGCGTTCTTCCTAGAGACGATAATGCGTTCAGACTGGCTCCTATCAAGAAACGCCAAGACACCTTCACGAACGACTTATTGCCGGTTAACTTTGATGCCAGACAACGATGGCCCGAATGTGCTTCGCTGTTGACGTCGATAAAAGATCAATCCAACTGCGGTTCTTGTTGGGTGAGTCAGCATTACCCTCTCTTTTTCGTGTCGAAACAACCACCCTGAGGGTGGAATTATTTAAATTCAGATTTATAATAGAGAAAAAAACACAGGTAAACGCTACTATTTTGAAGTTTGCAAAACTACTATTGTAATAAATAAATATTGAAATTTATAAAATCACTTATAAACCAAACGCTTCGATGCCAAACTGAAGATGGTAAAAACAAATAACTTCAGTTATATAAGTCGATTTAAAAAAAAAATCAATAAAATCGATTACCGGTATTATACCTACTATCCATAGTAATGGTATATATAAATCACTTTAAAAAAAAAATAAATGTGTTTATAATTGTGTCATTTCATTTTTGTGAGTTTGCCTCGATAGAAATAACGTGACTTTTTTTACAATTTATTTATCACATAAAATGTTTAAATAACTTTTTACTTTTTAGTGAAATTTTTGGTAAAATCAGGTCGATTTGAAAAATGTAGAAAAAAAATCAACAAACATTTTAAAACAAACGATTATCTTCATTTCATGTCTTTAGTTTGCCTCGATAAAAATGGTGAAACGTGGTAAAAATTACAAATCACACTAATTTAACCAACGATATTACATTTTATAAGAATTATTTTATTTGTTTTTAGTTATACGTCCACACTAGATACACATACAGTGTTTGTTGGTAGATCTTAAGTAAAACGAAATAAAAATTGTAAATTTTCTGGGCAAAATGGACCATGATGTTTTCTCGGTTTTCACTGTATATCGTTAAGTTCGGTTAGATACCACATCCAAATATTGTTTACACGTTCAGACAAAAATACCTTCTGGCCAAAATAAATATATCCATTCAAGGGCGTAGGATCTATTTAGAATTGCAGGCAATTACACCAATACAGGTCTTTTATACTGCTCTTATGGGTGGAAATTGTTATGAATCGCTCGTAATAACTAGAAATACAAATCTTCAAGGCCGTGTCCGCTGCATCTGTGTTCAGCGACCGATTGTGCATAGCTACTGGCGGTGCTGTGGCCATCAACTTATCTGCCGAACAGCTGAATTCTTGTTGCTATAGATGTGGCAATGGATGCGACGGTGGAAATCCAGAAAGAGCTTGGAATTTCTTCACACGACACGGACTCGTTACCGGCGGAGATTACAATTCAAACGAGGTCAGTATCTCGAGTCGCATTTAAGATAGCTGTTTTGTAAATCTAAACATAAACAATCGTAGTCTTAGCATCAAACTAAGATCCAAATTTGGAAACTAATTGTGTCGCTTAAGAGCACTCTTTCGCGACGTCAATCTTGTTTAACTATAGCTTTTCTTACAAAAATCAGTACACCTATTTCGACTAGGAAAACTACAATGATTAATTGCCAATGTTAAGGGTTGTCAGCCGTACAGCATTTTCCCGTGTGGCCGTGGACGAGCCAGGTGCATTGACGACGACCCAGAGACTCCAGAGTGTTTTGTGAAAACTTGTTCAAATTCAAATTACACCGGAGATTACAGGGCTGATTTACATTACAGCAAGTGTCGTTCAACTGAACTATTGATAGCTGTTGTCGGTAAAATCAAACGATGAATGATTAACCGACTCTTTATTGTTTAGCCGATGACGTGTACACTTTGACCACCGAAGAAGACATTATGCATGATATATACACCAATGGGCCGGTTCAAGCCGCGTTTATGGTTTATACGGATTTCATGTACTACAAAAGTGGTAATTCACGTACACATTTCACTAGTGCTTTCATTTAGTTTATAAGTCAGTCGTCCCAGATCTCGAATTTTACATCTCCCACATTATCCACACACACACACACAATTGTTTACATTGATTATTCTGATTGTTCTGATCGACTTTTTTGTAACATTTTTTTATTATTATAGGAGTATACAAATATACCAGAGGTGCTGCAGAAGGCGGCCACGCTGTTCGTATCTTGGGCTGGGGAGTGGAGAACGACTTGAAATACTGGCTGATTTCGAATTCCTGGAGCTCGTCGTGGGGAGATAAAGGCTTGGTAAAAATATTAAGAGGAGTGAATGAATGCGGTATCGAGCGCCGAGTTATAGCGGGAACGCCTCATTTGAGAAAACATTGAATGCAACAAACGCGCAATGAATGTAAAAAAAAACGAAATTACTCTTTTGGGAACAGACGATATTATTATTATAATAAAATAACCCACTGTGGCCATGTTGAATATCTTTGCTTAAATTCAAAATGCCCTAGTAGTCGACTATTTAACTTAATTCAATTATAGTAGTTGTATAACTAATTATTTTTTTTTTTTGCTGGGAATAAAAATTGAGAAAATATTCATGAAATATGTGTAATACTTTCTAAACTGGTATCCTATTAATTCTAGTTATTATATTCGATTGTGAGTACCGTATACACGCTGAACCCATTAAACTAAATAGAATAATAATATCCAAAATATTTTGCCATGAACTGGTTGAATGGATAATCGACCGTTATTGGGACTAAATATAGGCAACCGAGCAAGCACAGGTGTCGTCTAGTTTAAAACATTAAGGGGGTTTTAATGAAGTTAACCTAGCCTAGTGAAGTAGTAGAGTGATTACTTTACCTGGTAAAGTAATTTTTCGTTTCAAAACTGATTTATGTAAGCTCAAAGAAAATGATAAAACAGATTAGGATGAAATTATGTTTTTTTTCAATTTAAATACACATTATGTAAATGTTCTGCTAGAATTTTTTTTTTTTTTTAACTGAATTCTTCTCAGCAATTCTAAAAACAATAATAAAGTTAGCTGTTGTTGGCACTGCTCGACAACATGAACTTTAAAGTATAATTATTATTAAAACCTGTTGTTAAGAGCAATTGTGATAAACACAGGTAAGTATATATATCTAATTTAATTGCAAAAGAGCTAATATTGTCTGTTGAACTACTAGGTATGTTTTATCATAAAAATTTAAGGTCGTTTGCATATTTTACATCACGGATGAACTTGATAAAAACTCATAAATTCAATCTGCGAAGCATAATTGTCGAGGGTTATATACCTATATTACAATTCATCACATAAGTTGTTTCGATAAGATGCAATTATTCGTTGAATGTATTTATAATATATAATTAAATATTAAAACTAATAAAAATAAAGAGCAAACGGTACCGCATATTAAAAAATCACCTATGACAACTGACTACCATTTTTTTTTCCACTTAAAGGCTTCAAATACAATACCCTTTAGCCTATGCTACAAGTATACTTGTGTCACAAGTAGAATAATAATATTTGTATGTGATTCAATACATATAATAATATATAATTAATATTTAATTACCAAGCTCAAACAAGTCCTGTTAAATGGTATACTTACACAGTACATATTATATGAATTGTGTATTCAAAGTATGAGCACTTAAAAAGAGTTTATACAAGTGGATAATATGCAATTTTTTAGTTAAAAAGAATAATTTAAAAAAAAACCCGTTAATGGTTTCTCATATTTTGCATACAAATAAATGTATAAAAAAAAATACCAATATTAAATGAAAAACAATTAACGGTAAAAAAACGTTTGTCGTGGAAGAGTTTTTTAAAACAAAGTTTACTTTGAAATTTTGAATTAAGTAAAAAAAACATTGGTAAAAACACAAAATCTAGGTTTATTTTTTTTTTCAGCGACAAGTCTACAGCTTTATTTTAGAACAGAATGTTTATTATATTATATGTATTTATTAAACAATTTTAATTATATATATTCTAAAAACTAACTAGTATTACATAATATTTACGCGTTTAATAAATCAATATTCGAAGAAATTGGATTGTTTTTTTTAGGCTTTGATAAAAAAAAACGAGCTTAGTAAAATGCAACGATGCATATATTTTTGTTAACAGTTTTTTAACAACCTCTTTTGTTTAAAATTTGACTTTTACAAGCGAGTCCATACCTATATATTCTGCGCTATGAAATTTTCTATAACATTAGTTGATATTATTGCTGCAATTAAATATAATAAATGGGTCATTAGTGAATATTGATTCAATCATATTATTATGGGAATTACATATATATATATATATATATATTGTTATCTTTGTTTTTATTGTATTTGAATTTAATGATCACATTATCAGCTTTATTGCGTGTATAATTGATTTAGTACAATAATAATTATAATTTATGACTCTTTACAGGCGAATTCGTTTAAATTAACGATAGCAGTCAATCGACCATCCATCCCGTTGAGTGAATAATTATTACAATATTGTAAAGAATCATATTATATTGCAATAATTGAAATTAGTCGAACACCTTCATAATATTTATATATTAAGCGCACTGCCCGGTATTAGTATTGAAACAATAAGGGGTGAATATTTTCACTACACAGGTTATGTAGTTATTAGTCATTGTATAATTTCCAAAATTTAAAATACCACAAAACGTTACCACCGTTGAAAATCCTGAAATCATTTTATATTATAGGGTTTTTCTTGCTTAATCGTTTGGTTTGAATTGCTATTTAAAAATATGCACAATTCCCAATCGACATAAACAGTCATTGTATAGCTTACATAACGCACACATGCCCTTGTATAAAATCTAAACAGGAGCCAAAAGTTCACGCACGTTTTGATAAATAATATTACTGAATTATATGTGATCTATGTGCACACTGCACACTTGCCAGAAATGCATTACACTGCACTCGTTCGTCCTATCCTAGTAACATTACAATGACTTTGTATAATAATAATATGTATGTACACCAATTCATTGTCTATAGATGTGCACGCGTCGTTTACGATAATAATATTTTCATTGCAGTAATCATTTTAGCAATCATTTTTCTAATCAAAGTGCGTTTTCGAATAATTCTAAGATTCGCACAAGCCAGAATGTAACGTCAAACGTGGTGTGAAATATCTATGACTCGTGTAATAAGTGATACCATTAACCTAACTGTCGTACCTACTATTTTTATACATTATTTAATATATTAATATATTCTATTTAAAATAAAATAAAACGGAATCAACTAAGTAGAGCTGCATATAGGAAAATTGTTCTTGAAAAAGGCTTAAGAAAAGAGCATCCGTTGTAGCTAAAATAAATCCTAATTATTTGTTAAAATAATTGCCAATACATAACTATATTATACTTTTACATATGACTATTGTTATGGCGATTCGAGATACAAACAGCACATAATTAAATGTAAAATTATTGATTTAAGCTTCGATGAAAAGTAAAAAAAAAAATTCCCATTTAATATAACGTTTTGTTGATATTGTTTTGTGTTTGTGTACTCAAAATATATATCTGGAACTGTTCAATATTTACTTACACGAGTAAGTAAGTCAGCCCAACAGAAGTCGAATCCAAAACTATATTGGGGGGGCGGAAAAATATAAAAAGAATAAACAGGTTAACACTTTGATTTTAAAATGGGAGAAACATGTTTTATGATTTTTCTAAACAAATTATGACCTAAAAAATATATTGTATTTTAGAAATTTCTTTAACAAGTTCAGAGCTTAAAGCAAACCCTCCAGCTAAATCATAAACCGTACAATATTGATACAACTCTTAATTTTTAATGCAATTTTTATTGATTTCACTGTACAAAGATCAACGCGTTTCTCGAAAATAGGACCAAAGTACATTTATTTATTTTAATTTTTTTCATAGAATCCAAACCTGGCTTCAGAATTTCTCCAGAAAGCTGCCCACCAAGTTGTTTTTAAAATCAACTTCAAGTTGTAAAAAAAAAAACTTAGAAATTTCACTCTCTGTTTTTTGCCTGATTCAGAGCTGCGCACAAACACACAAAAAAAAATAGAGTTATAATTTTTTAAGTTGTTAATAACTTGACAGCCTACAATAATTCTGTGGTTATATTTAGTTTGAGAAAACAAAATTGCCATAACAAATACATTTTTGTTAACTGTTGTGAAAAAAGTCAACTATTTTTGTACAAAATTACAATAAAAATCTAGTGCAAACTATTTGCATTAAAAATAATCTAATAATTTATAAAACTAATATCTTTATTTGTCCACACAGTCCAAACAAGTATATCATTACAACAGCTGTAAAAAACCAACACATTTCTTTATCAATCACAATTTAAAACTAGGCCAGAAAATAACTATCGCGGTATACTATTATTGTGTGCACATATTATTTTGTTTGAAATACAAATTTTAAATATTTTTTTTTATTATAATTATTGGCTGATGATAGTTTTCAACTGTGTAAAGATTTAAAGTTTGTACTAATCAATTTTACTATTTCAATTTTAAAACATAAAACATCTAATAACTATACTGAAAAAATAAAGTATGCAGATTCATATTCTACTTGCAAATATCAAATGTATAAATATTATTAAAGATTGTGTTTATTGTTATTTGTATATTATAAATAATGCAAGAGTTAATATATTTATCTGCACTAACAACTAACAGCTTAATATAATAAACAGCAAATACTATTGACATACTTTAGATAATAATATAGTTATAAAAATGTTATAAATATTATGCCAATCGCTGTAGAATGACAAATACATATTTAATAAAAATATCATACTGTATTTTGTTTATGTAAATGAATAGGTACCGATAAAAAAATGAAATGTATTAATGTTTTCAAAGCCCCTACATTATTTTTTACTGTTCTTTTAAACAAATGTTTAAACGTTTAAAAGAAAAGTATCAAATGCAATCATCACATTATGTTTTTTTACTCTAAAATACACATAAATCAGCTTACATAATTTACAAATGAAGCCTACATTGTAATCTACTACATAAATTGTGAAACCAATAATACCTAGAATGTGTAATGCGATTAGTACAATAGTAAGTATACACGTGCGTTCCATAATACATTTTCAATAAACATTAATTGGAAAAATGCATAAATTCAATATTCATCGTTTTTGGATTTTCACTTATCTCTTACTTATACATTACTTTGCGTCAAAAGCCAGTATATATACTGCAAATGCACCTACAGTAAATCATTCATTCAGTTGTTCACTGTCCAATAGACCAACATACATAATCATGAAGGTGTTGTGTCTTGCTGCAGTAGCATTTGTTGCCGTTGCCACCGTAACGGCGGCTGGTGAGTACCATACAGTTTAAATATACTTATAAATATTATAATGCCTTTGTCGATTTTCAATGGACCTCGATAAATTTAACAAATGCTTCAAATGTTTGATAGCTTTATTAAAATTATTATTAATTTTACTTAAAATATTTCTAACATCCAGTTATCATAATTTGTACATTATATAAATTTATAATTTATTGACTATTAGCTCCACATATTTATAAATTATCATACCGTAGCTCGGTGAGCATAAACCACGTAAACATTACCGAAAAGTATATTTCCTTAAGGTATTATTTTAACCGTATATTTTAATTGATAATAAATCTGAGTTAATTTTTTTTAAATAATACTATTAGTTTTGTTGATATTTAATTTAAAATGTTTATCTTTATTTAAATCGTCAACTCTACAAATAAGTTAATAATATCAAAATTATCAGACATCTTATACAATATGTATCGCAAATACGAATATAATACCTAATAAACGACGATAAAGACATTTATTATTTTTAAACAAGTTTAAATTAATAAAAAAACTATTGTTATTAGATTAATGGACACAGCCTATAGTTTAAAGTAGATTTTTGGAATCCTTTAATATAAATGTTCAAAATAAGATATTACTTCAAATGGTAATTTACCCTAAAACATAAAAATAAGAACTGATTTCACTTGCATTTTAATTATAACTATTTTTTTTTGTTTATAATGCATTTTACATTTTTTTTAACAGTGTTGTTTAGATTTTTAAAAATAAATACTTCAATTTATGCTCAACTAAAATTTACAATTATATACATGTCCGACTTGTTTTATTTTACAGAAAAAACTAGTCAATTGTTTGACAGCCAAGAAAACAACCAACAATGGAGAGAACAAGGCAACAACAACAACCAATATTTGGGCAAGTCGAACGACCAAAGTTTGTCGTACCAAGGGCTCAACAGGAACAACAACCAAGGACAAAACAACATGGGCCTCAATAAACAAATGAACGACAACATTGGCCTCAACGGACAAATGAACCGCCACGTGTACCGCCAACTTAACCAGGACGGCAAAACTTTGTTCAACGGACAACAAAATCAACAAACAAACGGCGATTACAACAACCAAAACACCGGTTACGGCTCGGACGAAAGCTCTGAATTCATGACCACCGGATCCAACTCCCAGGAAGACTACGTTCAGACTGAAGGCATTTCCCAAAAGGACGCCGCCTACGTACTCGGCAACAACGTAGCCAAGAAAATGATGAACTTCGTCGCCATCGCCGAAAAGTACGCTAACGCCAACGGAGCCATCAAATGCGAACACACCGAAGAACACCTCGCCTTGAAACAAATGACCTTGCCGTTGCCAGACCATCAATACTTGAACATCAACGAGAACAAAATCAAAGGTCTCAACCACGGAATCGTCAAGAACATGAGAATCAACACTGAAGAAAACAACGTGAGTAATCAACAATTCAACCTAACCTTTGTGTAAAAAAATATATATTTTAACCCAATAATTATATACTTGTTTTGTTCACCACGTTTAGGTCGATGTAGAATACTTGTTCAACAACTTGGTAGCCGAAGGTAACACGAAGACAAACACTGGTAACAACGAACCGTTCAACGTGAAAATGAACAACGCCAACATCCGTGTCTCGACCGAATTGAACAACCGCAACCGCAACGTCGCCTGGACCCACAGCGAACAAATACAAATCAACACAGACTCCGCTCTATCCCAGAAACACCAAATTTTGAACCAAAACAACGCTGCATCCAAATTCATCCAACACTTGAAGAGGTCTATCGAAAACGAAATGATCGAAAACTCCTACGAAGGTTTTGTCGGATGTATGAGGACCGAAGCCCAAAAAACATACAACATGCCTTTGGGACCCGAAAACGACATGGTGATCGTCAACAAGAGAACCGGCCTCAAGGTTTCGTTGGTCAACACCCAAAACTGGAACGACATTGAATCTAAAGATACCAGGAAAATCAAGTCCGTGTCCGTGCGCCAAATCGAATCCGGAAACGGTTTCAGAGTAAAGGTCAACATTGTCATGTCCAAACAGCCCACATGGCAGAGCGACATCTTGGTCAACAAACAACAACAAACCGCCAACTTCAAGAACGTCAACTTCCAAGCCAACGACATCGTCGCCACCGCTGTTTTAGAGAACATCATCCAAATCAACGGAGACTCACGATTCAATGTTGCTGACGTTCAAGTCAAATTCAACGGTCTTAAATTCAACATTGCCGACAACCAGGATTTGGCAATGGACGTTCAACAAAACCTCCACAGAATGTTGGAAAACAACATGGCTGTTGTTCTCAAACAACAATTGAAACAACAACATCAGTTCTGCCAAAACTCTCAAGACGAGTGTGCCAAGTGTGGCAACCAAAAGCCGTCACTTTTGAGTTCATTATTTAATAAGAAAGTTTAATTTGTTCGTAAAAAAAATGTACTAAAACCTTAATAAAACATCCATAGGCAATGTATACAATTGATTATTACTTTAATATTTACTGTACTCCATTTGACTTCCAACTTATTAATTACACAATCAATATAAAATAATTAAAATTCCCATAACAAACAGCAATTGTTATCAAACAGCAATTGATGCAACAAAACCAGGTCTGCCAAAGTTCTCAAAATGAGTGTGCCAAGTGTGCTAACCAAATGCCGTCATTAATGATGAGATCGACTGTCTTGTTGTAACTTGTTTACAATAATAATACATTTTTTCCACGATAAATTATACAAATTCAATTATATCAATATTGTCTATGATCTATTTAAATGTTTCATTTAATGTACGCTCATTTACTTCCAAAGTACTAATTACACGGTCAGTTTTTTATTGAGTTAATACAATACACAAATAAGTAATTCAGCAGTTTTACTAGAGATACTAAAAAGTTTATCTATATTTATTTTATACTTTATTTTTATTGGCAAATATTCACCGTAAAAAGTTATTTCGTAAATAATATAATTGAAAAATCGTTAATGCAATTATTATTACAAATAATCAGTGTTACAACAACATCAGGTCTTTCAAATTTCTCAAGATGAGTGTGTTAAGTGTGGCAACCAAAAGCCGTTTTTTCTTTATATTTTTTAAATATTTTGAATAATAATATGTTTTAATTGATAATATTAAATTAAAAAATGATATTTTAATTAATGTATGTTTAAACATGCAATTTGCCTTTTTAAGATTACAAACTGTACAAAAATAAGATAAAAACCAAAAATATATAAATAAGTAATCACTAAAATCAAATTAAAAAAGACTTAATCATAGGTACGTATGTTGATTTTTTTAAGTACAATAATGCTCTTAACTTGAAAGTTTCCTGAGCCAAGGTAAAAAAAATCAAGATTAGTAGATATTTTACTGGCTAACCGTAAAGCCAAAGGGAGAAATTAATGATTACCACTATTTGATTAATACAAAGGAATGGGAAACAGATTATGATTACTTATATATTGAGTGGGAATTCGGAATGAAAATATGCTGATATCAGTTAACTAGTACTTACTCAAGATCATTGAAGTCCAAACAAGTAACGTCACATATTTAAATTTACAGTGTATCTGACTATAGCTTTAATAATTATAAGCGAACCGGAAAATACCTTACTAATTATTAAGGCCTTATTAATATATTATATTTATTATATTTTCATAAACAAAAAAAATAAATTTATGATATATTATCTTTAATTAATTGAATAATAAAAAATATGAACTATAACCTATTATAGTATTACGTCTTATAGTTTATTAAAATATAAAAACATTAACAAAACATACAAATTAAATATACAAGACAATTTTAAATCAAATTATTAATTAACATCTATGACTAAATTTCATCCTCTATATTCATTTCTTCTTGTGTGCACAAAACTTTTTAATACTTTTGTAGGAAATGGGTTTCTAAATAAAACACAAATACATTTATAAAACAAAAAACAATCAATGTTTTATGAAATGATTTACGTATAAAAATAATTATTATTGGTTGATAAGACGTATACAACAGGTCTATGAAACTTAATAAAAGCATATTTATTTTTCTATATAGTATGAATTAAAATTTAGATAAAATTCAAGAACTTACTTTATTACATGGTTTAACATCAGTTGAGTTCGTCTTTTGGATATCATAATATCAGTAGGTATACATATTAAAAATAATATAGTAAATATATGAAATTTAATACAATAAAAATAAATGTATATTATTTCACTACTTTAGACATTTAACAAATTATATCCTTAGCATTTTGTTTGTTTTATTAAGAGGTTTCGCGGTAAAATGTATTGTATAGTACCAATATCATCATCGCAGATGTAGGTGGTCCAATATTGGTGTTTAGGTAAAACAGTACAATCAGGTGTTGGTAACAAACAATTATGTATTTCAAAGAAAGCAATACATCAGCAATTTCAAAATTATAACGCTGACAAACGAAAATTCTTCTTTTTAAATATAAATTTAATAAAATTATTTTTTTTTTTTTTAAATAACACCATTAATCGATTTTTCAACAAATTTCCAGTAAGAATTGATAACTAACTATTTTTTTAAAAAATGGCAATAATTAATTTTGAAAAAAAAACACCTCAATCTAATGTTATACATTTTATAAATATTATGAGAATCGTTGTAGAATGTCAAATACAATTATATAAAAACATCATACCGTATACTTATTTTCATAAATTATGAAAATAAGTAGGTACCGATAACATTGGGATGTATTAATGTTTTCAAAGCCACACATCAGTTTTTTACTATTTTTTAAACAAATTTTATGATGTTAATCGTTTGGAAAAAAAGTATCAAATGCAATCATCACATTTTGTTTTACAGATTTAATTTGTTTTATCCAAAAAATGTTAAAACGATTTTCACTATACACTTATAACGTATATTATATTATCATATTTGTATATTCTTAATTTGCTTTCAACTTTTTATTCATTCAAGAAATATTTTTAAATTTTGCTCTGAGAATGCTTCCAACGTTGGAAATTTATTTATCCCAAAATGTTCACCCGAATAACATATAAATAAGTTTCGTGACTTTATTTGCTATGAGCGATTTTTCAAGTTGTTCATTATTAGTTTTCAGGGTAAAGGATTACATTTTCTATTCTAAACCTATTCAAAAATCAACCCATACTAAATTAGGTGCTAGAGGGGTTATCATCGGGCCAAGGGGTGAATTTTCAATATCAAAGAAAAATCATGTTGTTCATAAATTTAAATGTTTTTGGGATCATTGAATTCAAATTTTACAAAATTTTTTTAAAACTACCACTAAATTAAAAAGATAGGTAGAGTTATTTCTTGAATAAAAAAAAAATCAAATTTGTAAATAATTTATTTTGTATATTTATGGTATATATAAAATATACCATAATTATGTCAGTACTTCACCTTCAATTTAATTATTACAAGTATTTATAATAATTCCTGTAGGCCTGTAGTTTTTTCCGTCTCCTATGCTTCGATTACATTATGCCTCGACTCTACTGTACTTGTACTAGTCCTCTCGGGGTAAAATTACTTTCAAATAAACTCTTTGATGCTAATTTGTAAACACTGCACCTAAAATCTGTATTGTAATCTAGTACATAAATTGTGAAACCAATAATACCTTGAATGTGTTATGCGATTACACAAGTAAGTACACACGCGCGTTACATAATACATTTTCAATAAACGTTTATTGGGAAAATGCATAAATTCAATAATCATCGTTTTTGGTTTTTGACTTATGTTTCACTTTTCATTGATTTGCGTCAAAAGCCAGTATATATACTGCAAATGCACCTACAGTAAATCATTCATTCAGTTGTTCACTGTTCAATAGACCAACATACATAATCATGAAGGTGTTGTGTCTTGCTGCAGTAGCATTTGTTGCCGTTGCCACCGTAACGGCGGCTGGTGAGTACCATACAGTTTTAATATACTTATAAATATTATAATGTCTTTGTCGATTTTCAATGGACCTCGATAAATTTAACAAATGCTTCAAATGTTTGATAGCTTTATTAAAATTATTATTAATTTTACTTAAAATATTTCTAACATCCAGTTATCATATTTTGTACATTATATAAATTTATAATTTATTGACTATTAGCTCCACATATTTATAAATTATCATACCGTAGCTCGGTGAGCATAAACCACGTAAACATTACCGAAAAGTATATTTCCTTAAGGTATTATTTTAACCGTATATTTTAGTTGATCATAAATCTGAGTTAATTTTTTTTAAATAATACTATTAGTTTTGTTGATCTTTAATTTAAAATGTTTATCTTTATTTAAATCGTCAACTCTACAAATAAGTTAATAATATCAAAATTATCAGACATCTTATACAATATGTATCACAAATACGAATATAATACCTGATAAACGACGATAATGACATTTATTATTTTTAAACAAGTTTAAATTAATAAAAAAACTATTGTTATTAGACTAATGGACACAGCCTATAGTTTAAAGTAGATATTTGGAATTCTTTAATATAAATGTTCAAAATAAGATATTACTTCAAATGGTAATTTACCCTAAAACATAAAAATAAGAACTGATTTTACTTGCATTTTAATTATAACTATTTTTTTTTGTTTATAATGCATTTTACATTTTTTTTAACAGTGTTGTTTAGATTTTTAAAAATAAATACTTCAATTTATGCTCAACTAAAATTTACAATTATATACATGTCCGACTTGTTTTATTTTACAGAAAAAACTAGTCAATTGTTTGACAGCCAAGAAAACAACCAACAATGGAGAGAACAAGGCAACAACAACAACCAATATTTGGACAAGTCGAACGACCAAAGTTTGTCGTACCAAGGGCTCAACAGGAACAACAACCAAGGACAAAACAACATGGGCCTCAATAAACAAATGAACGACAACATCGGCCTCAACGGACAAATGAACCGCAACTATTACAGACAACTTAACCAGGACGGCAAAACGTTGTTCAACGGACAACAAAATCAACAAACAAACGGCGATTACAACAACCAAAACACCGGTTACGGCTCGGACGAAAGCTCTGAATTCATGACCACCGGATCCAACTCCCAGGAAGACTACGTTCAGACTGAAGGCATTTCCCAAAAGGACGCCGCCTACGTACTCGGCAACAACGTAGCCAAGAAAATGATGAACTTCGTCGCCATCGCTGAAAAGTACGCTAACGCCAACGGAGCCATCAAATGCGAACACACCGAAGAACACCTCGCCTTGAAACAAATGACCTTGCCGTTGCCAGACCATCAATACTTGAACATCAACGAGAACAAAATCAAAGGTCTCAACCACGGAATCGTCAAGAACATGAGAATCAACACCGAAGAAAACAACGTGAGTAATCAACAATTCAACCTAACCTTTGTGTAAAAAAATATATATTTTAACCCATTAATTATATATTTGTTTTGTTCA